ATACTGTATATGTCGTGCATGTTTAAATCGATGGGTCGTCACAAAATGAAAACCTGTTAAAATTATTCTTAACACATGTTCATAGTTTTGATTTTGTTTTCTTTAATAAAACGTTGTTTTCTCGTTTGAAATGTTTTACATTTGTCATTGCGGAGCCTTTTATAGCTGACTATGCGGTATGGGTCTTGCTCATTGTTGAAGGCCGTATGGTGACCTATAGTTGTTAATTTATGTGTCATTTGGTCACTTGTGAATAGTTGTCTCATTGACAATCACATCACATCTTCTTTTTTATATTTATAATATAATTGAATTCGTTCGATTTTTATTAACAGACTTGTCAGTTAATATTTTTCCTTACCATTACATGTCATTCATATCATAAGTATCTGATTTAGCAAAACACTAACTATAGTAAAATACTGCATTCATATTTTTTCTTTTTACTTTTCAGAAACATGCCACTTACTTGCTCATTGTTGAAGGCCGTACGGTGACCTATAGTTGTTAATTTATGTGTCATTTGGTCACTTGTGAATAGTTGTCTCATTGACAATCACATCACATCTTCTTTTTTATATTTATAATATAATTGAATTCGTTCGATTTTTATTAACAGACTTGTCAGTTAATATTTTTCCTTACCATTACATGTCATTCATATCATTAGTATCTGATTTAGCAAAACACTAACTATAGTAAAATACTGCATTCACATTTTTTCTTTTTACTTTTCAGAAACATGCCACTTACTTAGGGTGTGGTAATTAAAATAATTAAGTTGCTATGACTCTTTGTTTTATTTCATATTTTCAATAAGGTTCTGCTACCAAAGCTAAATTAGTTACAAACACAGGTGAAACATGGTATGTCTACCATTCCAGAGCACATGAGATCAACCCCAGTTTTGACTAGGGTTTGTGTTGTACTGATGTCTTATTTTTTTGTGTGTTTTAGACTGTTATTTTTTATTGTTTTAGCTCACCGGGGCCTGAAGGGCCTCATGTGAGCGTATGCCATCACTTGGCGTCGGTCGTCTTTCGTCGTCGTCCTTGTCGTCTGTCGTAGTCGTCCGTCGTCGGCGTAAACTATTTCAAGAATCTTCTCCCTCTGAAACTACTGAGCCAAGTACATTCAAACGATTACTGAAAGTTTCTTAGGGTTTAGTTATAAATTGTATCCGAAGTTTTGATCCATCAACAAACATGGCTGCCATGGTTAAATATAGAACATAGGGGTCAAATACAATTTATGGCTTATATCTCAATAACTTAAGCATATAGAGCAAATCTGACATGGGATAATAATGTTCAATAGGTCAAGGTCTATCAGTCCTGACATTTTTAGACGAATTGAACAACCCATTTTGTGTTTCTGCCACTAAATTGGTATTGTTAAGGAAATTATGCAGTTTTTGGTTATTATCTTGAATACTATCACTACAAACTGCTCCGAGTCTAAAAAGACAAGTTTTTGTGCTCGACCAGTAAAGTCGAGCACACATTTTACTCGACTAGTCTCGACATTGTCTCGACTTTACTGAAATGTACTTAATTATACTCGACTAGGTCTCGACTTTACTTAATTAGTCTGATTCAGTACTAGATGATCTTGGTGTAATCTGAAATGGTCTCGACCAAGGCTCGACCAGTCTCTACCTGTCTCAACCAGTCTCGACTAGTCTCGACTCAGTCTCAACCAGTCACTACCTGTCTCGACTAGTGTGGACCTTCAAATTTAGTCTTCACTGGTGTAAATCAGCTCATCTAACTAAATTATATATAGATCTTACAACATACCAGTCTATTTGGTAGTTTGATTCATTGCTGTGAAATGAAAGAATTTAATTAATAGGTAAAAAAAAAAAGATTAAATTCAGATAGGCATCTTTAATTTTTTTTATAACTTTTTCAAATCAACTTGGATGTTCATCAAACTATGAAACTATCTTTAATATATTGATCTTACTGAATCCCAGGTCATTATGTGGTTTGATGTATTGCTGTCAAATTTAAGATTTAAATTAATCTAGATAAAAAAAAGCTAGGATTGCAGTTCGGACAAAATTCAGACAGTACACTTTAATTTTTTTTTATAACTTTTTCAAATCAACTTGGATTTTCATCAAACTATACAGCTACCTTGGTAATATATTGATCTTACTGAATCACAGGTCGTTATGTAGTTTGGTGTATTGCTGTCAAATTTAAGAATTAAATTAATCTAGGTAAAAAAGCAAGGATTTGCAATTTCGGACAAAATTCAGATAAAACACTTTTTTTTTTAATAACTTTTTCAAATCAACTAGGATTTTCATCAAACTATACAGCTATCTTAGTAATATATTGATCTTACTGAATCATAGGTCAAGGTTATCATCATATTTGACAGCAATACACCAAACTTCTTAACAACCTGGGATTCAGTAAGATTAATATATTACCAAGGTAGCTGTATAGATATATGGAAATCCAAATCAAACTAACAAATAAACTGGAATCTTGTAAGATCTTTTTTTAATTAAGTTAGATGGGCTGATTTATACTAGTGAAGACTAAATTTGAAGGTCCAGACTAGTCGAGACAGGTCGAGACTGGTTAAGACTGAGTCGAGACTAGTCAAGACAGGTCGAGCCTTGGTCGAGACCATTTCAGACTACACCAAGATCATCAAGTACTGAATCAGACTAATTAAGTAAAGTCGAGACCTAGTCGAGTACAATTAAGTACTGTTAAGTACTGTCGAGACAATGTCGAGACTAGTCGAGTAAAATGTGTGCTCGACTTTACTGGTCGAGCACAAAAACTGGTCTTTTCAGACTCTGAGCAGTTTGTAGTGTATTATAGACAGAGATAAACTGTAAACAGCAATAATGTTCAGCAAAGTAAGATCTTCCCAAAAAAATAATATGACCAAAATTGTCAAACGACCCCTTCAAGAGTTATTGCCCTTTAAAGACAATTTTACACAATTTGTTCATCATATTTGCTAACATTTAAAAATCTTCTCCTCTGAAACTACTAGGCCTAATACTTCTAAACTTTAACTGAATGTTCTTAAAGGTATCTAGTTTATAAATTGTATCTGAAGTTTTGATCCATTAACAAACATGGCCGCCATGGTTAAAATCAGAACATTGGGATCAAATGAAGTTTTTGGCTTATATCTCAAAAACTGAAGTATTTAGAGCAAATCTGCAATGGGGTAAAACCTTACGGAGTTATTGCCCTTTGACGACAATTTTACACAATTTGTTTATCATGTTATACAACTTTAAAAAATCTTCTCATCTGAAACTACCTGAACCAAATTAAACCAAACTTATGATGAATGATGCCATGGTTATCTAGAATAAAGTCTGTGTTTTATTTTCTATGTCCTCTCCTCTGAAAACATGGCAGCCATGGCTAAAAATAGAGCATAGGGTAAAATGCAGTTTTTGACTTATATCTAAAAACTTAAAGCATTTAGAGCAAATCAGACAAGAAGTTTAAGTATTCATTAGGTCAAGGTCTACCTGCCCTGAAATTATCAGCCAAATTAGGTATCTGATATTTAGGTTATTGCCCTTGAATGAATGATTTTAAGGAAATTTTGCAGTTTTCGGTTATTAATTTGAATATTATTATAGATAAAGACAAACTGTAAACAGCAAAAATGTTCAGCAAAGAAAGATCTACAAATTATTTTTATATGACCAAAATTGTCAATTGACCCCTTAAGGAGTTATCATCCTTGAAAGACAATTTTTCACAATTTTTTCATCTAGTTTGCCTACTTTAAAAAATCTTCTTCTTTGAAACTGCAGAATCAATTTCAGCCAAACTTGGGCTGAATGAGTTTTAGAGTATCTAATATGAATTTTGTATTTTATTTCCTTGTACGTCAAGACACGTAGCCACTATGGTTAAAATGGAACATAGACGTAAAATGCATTTATTTGCTTTTGAAGGAAATATGACAGATACAAAGAACATTTACATGGCATTTTTAAGCCACTCATTGATATATATTGAAAAGCAAAAATAATCATTGATGAAAAATTTAACAAAAAATAGCAGGTGAGCGATTCAGGCTCTTGAGAGCCTCTTGTTTGTCAATGCTGTTTGTCGTCAGTTTGTAAGGTTAAGTTTCATTTTAGTATCTTCAGCCTCTCTTCAATACGATTTTATTATATTTAATCCTTTACTTTAAAGGGGCACTAGCTGTCAAATTCATGTTCACCGATTTGACCAAAATTCTCATGTTTGATTTATAACACTGAAAACATTTATAAAAATTATAAAAAGTCTAAAATAAACAATTTACACTGCATGGGCTCGATAATTTGTAGCTTTGTTTCGTGTGTATTTTAGTGTAGACGCCCATCTAATTAACTATCGAGTTGACCTCCAAAGACCTCCGATGGTCATATAAGCGATATAAACATAGATATAGATACAAATAGAAAGCGAACTCGTGCAATTGAATTTTTCTAGGTCTGTTTAATTTTATATTATAGATTAAAAATATATGTTGATCATCGTTTTTACCTGTATAAGAATGATTTTTTGTGGATCGAATCAGTCAATCAAATGATTTACCTTTGTTTCACTTTCAATGTTGAAATTTTTTTCCTAGAAATAACTTAACACGCACAATCAATGCGTTATCCATTTCTAGCTAAGGGGTTAAATTGAAGTTCACATGAATACGGATTCAATGAGGTCGAATTATTCACTTGTAAGTGAATAATCCATCATCTGTGTTTCTTAGCTTATTTTGACAAAATTGAACCATACTGTCTTCTTAAAGCGAATCATTATTTCACTATTTCACTTTCATTAATTATTGAAAAAAAAAAATCATATTTTAGATTTTTTTATCTATCTCGTAGCTAGTGCCCCGTTAAGCGTTATATTGTATTGTCTGTCTGTGCTGTTGTTATTTTGCATCGTTTCTTTTATTGTTTTACTTCTGAATATCTAAATTTATTAGTAAAAATATTCATTTTTATTTAGTTTTTCGCCATATTAAGGAATGAGGAACCAACGGGAACTCTAAAAGACAAAGGTACAGACAATCAAGTAAAAAAAATAAAGGCCAAAATAGAAGATAATCAAGTTGTTTTGCATATCAAACAATATCAAATAATGGGCAACCAAAGAAAAAAACATAAGTAAGTGAGGAGTCAATTAAGTAATTTACATGTATTTGTTATAGTGAGAAAGGGCAAACGACATTGAAGTAGTTAATCCTCTAAGATGCGTTCTTTCTTATTAAGACAAGAGAATGCAGTGTTTTTGTTTTGCAGATATATTGAAGGCATGATGCTTTATACATTATCTTTAATGTTAAATTTCACATTATACGGAACATAAATTCTTGCTTAATTTATTTATAGGTAAATGCACAGCCTGCCAGTTTAATGTACCAACTAATCGATTAAAGATCTACTCCAAGTTTTTCTTATCCATTTGAAAAAAAATACAGTGTCAATATGCTTATCATATCAATCATAGTGTGTTATTCAATGAAAGTTCACCTTGTTCATATTTTCAAAGACGCATTTTCTGCTAATCATTTTTTTATTTAACAAAAATAGATTCATCTTTATATTTTATTTGATTTCAGGAATGATAGGTCCATGATATTGATGACGAAATCACCTTTAAGAAAAGTTTTTGTGAGTATTTCATTCATTTTTATGTGTATTCATTCATAGAAATGCCCAAATGTTTGATAAAAACAAGTCGCCCAACCAAATATCACAAATATGTTGTCAAAAACCATTTAAATCTTCATGATGTCAGATTTGGAGACATTTCAGTGTTTCGTAAACTAGCATGTCTAGCGTAAAAATATATGTTGTCTATTAAAAATCAAACATCCTTATAATGTCAGTTTCAAAGATTTTTTGATCGATATAGAGGTTTTCATTCTTACAAAAACGATGTATTACTCCCTGTATGACCAAAGAAGGACCAACTCTTACCATCTTGTGTAAAATGTTAAATACTATTGCAAGATAAACGAATCTGAGATTGTACATGTTGTTTGTAATCTAACCGATCTTTGGAAATCTTGAGTATCAACATCTCATTTACGTCGCCTCTAGAATATGTAGTTTCACAATAACTTTAAAGCCCGGCTATGATTGCTGAGAAAATTGATGTGAATATTTTAGAAAGAGGTTTGCCAGAGCACTTTGATAACCCAGCAATATAACGTTGTTTGAAAAGATACTGTAATTTGGGTATAAAATACAATGAAAGAAAATAAAGTTATACATCTTTATTTGAATTCTAATGGAACGTAGAACGGACCTATGATTGTCTATGATTTCCTCTTTGGTAAATGTCGTGGGAGTGTATGTTAAATTTCATTGTGAATTGGCAATAGCTATTCTTTATCAAGCATTTTATGTAATGTAATTAACACACAAAAAAGATGTTGTTTAGAGCTTTATCTGCAGGGACAACCCAATATTTTTATGAATGTAGGACAGGGGTTTAGCAACATTTTTATCTTTAAAAATTAAGACAGCACGTGTATTCTTAGACCCATTTAGTTTTATTTTACATTCTGACTTTTATCAACGACATCACAAATTCAATTCTTTCAGAGAGAATATCTAGGCTTTCTTTCGCAGGTTGAACTCATTGCCTGGCCTTATCCTCTACTGAACCCATCAGTATATTGAAGTTGTGTGTCCAATTCAAGTTTGGTGTTATCAAATAGTTCGTTTCTATGTGTGTCGGCGTTCCTGTTGTTTCTCTGTTTTCCTCTTATAGTTGATGTGCTTCCCTCGGTTTTGGTTTATAACCCGGATTTTTCTCGATCGATTTATGACTTTTGATCACCGGTATACTATTGTTGTCTTTTTGAATTGGTTATACTGGTATAAAGGGATTGAAAGTCAACTTCGTAATAAATTTAAAGACAAAAGAAACAAACTTTTTACTCTAATAGATCTTCAAACGTGTTAGTATACACATCAGTCCTAGAGCAGGTAGTTTAATTTTTTTCTCAAGCCGAGATTGAACTGATGATAGCAATTAGCATGATTAATGTTATCAGCTTGTGGAGGTGTCCCGTAGAAGACCTATTATATACAGGGACATAACATTGTTCGTAAGAAGGCTTATTTAAAGTTGATACCCTGGACTGTGACGACAAATTAAGATTTTCATCTGTGGTTGAAATTCCATTTTACTATAGAACAAACCTATAATTATGCAGAATGACATCTTTACTACGTGTGGTGGAATATATGTTGGATTTAAAGTATATTGTCCATACAAAATACTACTATCATGAGGGGATAACATCATATACGTCTTGGGGTAAGATAGGTGGCCAGCAAAACTTGTTTCAAATACTTTTACATAGCTGGTTATTTTTGTTATTTCACTGACAAGTGAAAAAACCATTAATTTGTATTTTCGTTTAATTATACGACTTTCTTGGTTGACTAGTCTTATAAACATTATACACGATGCTTTTTTCACATTAAATTCTTTAAATCTTGAATATGAATGTCAGTTTTGTCCTAACGAATGAATGTTGATTTAACAAAAGAATATGAATGCATCCACTATGCATTTTTTATACTAGATTTCGTAGTTCACATCTGATTGGCATTAAAATGACTCCCGATTTTGTGGGGTTCGTGTTTCTTACTGTAGGCGTTTGTTTTCTGTGTTGTGTTTTGTATACTGTTGTTTTTCGTTTTGTCATTTTTTTTTTTTTTATGGCGTAGCCAGTTTATTTGCAACTGATAAGTTTGAAACTCATTGACACTTTTCTCAAATGTGAATATTTGTTTTCGACTTTCAACGTGCTAACTGTTTCCATATAACTCCCGTATCCGTGCAAGGTCTTCTTTGATAATATTCAAATATAGCTATATTCTCCCTAGCAAGTATGACATTATTTTTGACTGAACGCTGAACTTGTGAATTTTCGAATCAAGAAGGTCTCGCTGAGATGACTTTCTCAGCTGAAGAAGGACTCATATATATTTCGACTTGAAGCCATATATGGTTTTCACGCTGTATGTGAGAACTGTCGTTACGTCAATACAGACTATATTTGCGTCTAGATAAAGAAAAACAATAAGTGAATGTATTTTTCAGGATAAAATTAACTATAGTATTCCGAAATCTTATATAACATTTACAACTCTGTAAGGACAGTGGTGATTTATTTAGCTGTGTACTGCAAGTTCGTCTGTTACTTGACACTTACAACATCAGTTCTAATTTAAAGTTTTTGTTTTAGTTTGCTCAAATCCCTTACACTGTTGACCAGACAGGTTTTCTGCAACACGAATTACTGAAACAGTGGAAAATACCCCAACCTGAGGCAATAATAGCAATCACAGGGGTAGGGCATCAATTCAATATTAAAGATAAGCTCCATTTGAAAAGAGATTTGATCGACGCAGTCATAAATACCGGTAAGATATTGCACAATGTAAAACAAAATAAAAACAATTCGCGTGTTTTTTTGGTCTATACCCTGCAAATACTGCACTTACATTTCATTCGGTGTTGTTTATTCCTTCACTTTGTATAAACACTGTAAAAAAGTAAAATAACAAAAATACTGAACTCCGAGGAAAATTCAAACCGGAAAATTCCAATCAAAAGGCTCTAACACATCAAACGAAAGGATTACAACTGTCATGTTCCTGTCTTGGCAATGGCCTTTTCTCATGTAGAAAATGGTGGATTAAACTTGATATTATAGCTAGATAAATCTCTCACTGGTATGACAATCACATAACATTCCTTTATTTTGACAACAAGGTGTGAACAAAACAAACACAAATGATAGTGTACAGCAGTCAACATTGTGTTTTAATCTTAATAACTCTAAAAACAAACAAAGATGTCAACAAAGAAAAACAAAAAGGCATATAGACAAAGCACATCAGAAAAAAAAGCAAGGACAAGAATACAAGATCTATAATTCATGTTATCTACCATTTCTATGGCAAAAAACATAAATAAACGAAATAGCAAATGTGAGAACGACCTGTAATTGCCTAATACCCCTGTACTAAAAATAACATTTGTGGCTGGACATTTTTATACGCTTCGATATTTTTTAAATGGTATAGGTTTGAATTGTGATAACATTGTTCTATATCATTATATGACACTGTAAGTTTGCACAGGATTCATCTGGGACATATGTACGGTCTCTTCTCTGGTGCATCAATCAAGAAAAACAATTTTAACGGAAAAAATGTATGATCATTTACTGTATCATTACCACTGATTGTGGACTGTTTCAATGTAGACCCCGATTCATACTTTACAACTTACATTGGTACCAATTCAAAACTCTTCGTTAATACATACAGTAAACAATAAGATAGAGTGTATTAATATGATTCCCACATTTGATATAAATGGATAAATAGTTGCTATCTAAGACATGTAAGAGTCCAGTTTGTTCGAAAAACTTTTCTCGCACCATGCGCTTATACTTTTTTGAATGTTGATTATGTTTGTATGAGGTTTTCCGGTGAAGGTAAATCCCCAAAAAGCGTTAAGGACAAAAAAAAAATATCTTAAGTGTTTTTAAAATATGTATTAACGATTTCCATTATACGTCCATATCTTGAATTATAAATGCGTAAAAATTGTCGTAACGTATATTTGATATAGAGAATCGATAAACTTAGGTACGACAGTAATGATATGATAAAGATGAAACGATTGAGTTGTCGACATTTGTATAGAATAGGATGCAAATACAATCTTTTATTTTTCCAATTTTATTTCTATTATTTTTCTATTAGACGATTATTTACATTGCCGACATCTAATTTAATGCAAATGTCTTAGAAGACTCTATATTGCAGAGCACCTGACATCACCCCCAGTTGTTGGTGGGGTTCGAGTTCCTCAGCCTTTTTTTATGTTGTGTGTTGTTTTCTGTTGTTTGTTTTTTTTTATCCACGACGTTGTCAGTTTATTTTCGACTTATAAATTTGAATGGCCCTTTGATATCCTTCACCTCTCTGATGAGATGTATAAATCCATCAGTAAATATACAAATGAAAAACATTGTTTTATATTTAAACGGTTATTTGAGAGATTTAAAAACAATTAAACGTATTTTAAGTTTCGAACAATATGATGTTTTGGCTATTTTCCTGTCTCGTTATCATTAAGGATCATGTAGATCTGCGTCCCTGAATGACATGCATAGTTTGACAAAAACAAAAAATATTTTTTTTTATAAAACATAGAGAGTTTCTTAAAAAGAAAAATAACAGTCTTTGTAATGAAATGGTATAGTTAACATGCGAAATAGATTGTAGAGGTTACTCAAAATGCATGTACCAAGAAGGGAATGTGACAGTTGCTATCCAGCCGTTTAATGTGTTTGGGCTTTTGTTTTTGCCATTTCATAAGGGGCTTTCCGTTATGAATTTTCCTCGCAGTTGGGTATTTTTTTTATTTTACCTTTTTTACAAGGCAATATTCAACCTACTCGTAAATCTCTCTTTAGAAAATATTCCTGCATTTTCTGTAGATGCACGTTTTTATGGATTGTTAGTTTTTAGTTAAGAATATAACCAAATTCATAGAATGATTTATTTTTGTGAAATTAAGACGTCCTACTCTATGGTTTGATGATTTGTCTAATTAATATTATATGATGGGTAATATAGATTGAATTCGATTAAAGAGTCGTCGTAATTATTTATAGACAAATACAACAACTATTTCAAGAAAGACAAGTTTACAATTGTGAATCAATGCTAGAATATCAGAATAAACTATAATTATTGCATATCTTTTCATAAGAATGAAACTTTTCATCTAATATATATCCGGTCTTCCTTTCTAATGTAATGTTGTTTAATTAATTCTTCGTCCAATCTTCGTCGAGGTAAATTGGCATATGTTCATATTTTGACTATTTGTAGAATCTTGGATTGTAACATGTGGTATAGAAGAAGGAGCGGTACGTTTTATTCAGGACGCTGTTGATGAGCATATAGTTCTAGAAGAGTACCACATTCCAATAGTTGGAATATTGTCACAGAGAGTATTAGATGAAGTAATACAATAAGCGTGTATTCGTTTGGGTCTCAGTATCTTTACGGATCTAAAAAGAAAGAAATAGCTAATAATGATGTATTCTATTGTTAAGACTAGAGTGACTTTTGACGTCTTATTTACCGTAGGCAATTAAAAAATGGAAAGGATTCTTTATATTTCTCTAAGATTAACTGGTCAATTGAACATGTTGGTGAAAACATTTAAGATGTGATTTTAGAAGCAAAATATAGTAAATATGCATGAGCGGAAATCATATGGATTTTTTTTTAATGTCAAATTCCAAACGTTCTTTTGAATGCTTTCAATGACAATTTAAAAGTTATTTCAAATCATGACTTTCCATTTATAAAACTAATGATGAAATAGTTATCAAAGGTACCAGGCTTATAATTTGATACGCCAGACGCGCTTTTCGTCTACATAAGACTCATCAGTGACGCTCTGATAAAAAAGCCAAACAAGTATAAAGTTGAAGAGCATTGAGGACCCAAAATTCCAAAAGGTTGTGCCAAATACGGATAAGGTAATCTATGCCTGGGATAAGAAAATCCTTAGTAACTCGAATAATTCATACTTTTGCAAATAGTTAATTTATAAAAATGACAATATAATTGATATTCATGTCAACACCGAAGTGCTGACTACTGGGCTGGTGATACCCTCGGGGAAGAAACATCCACCAGCAGTGACATCGACCCAGTGGTGTAAATAGTTATCAAAGGTACCAGGCTTATAATTTGATACGCCGGACGCGCGTTTCGTCTACACAAGACTCATCAGTGACTCAGATCAAAAAAGTTAGATAGCCATAGAAGTATAAAGTTGAAGAGCATTTAGGATCTAAAATTCCAAAAAGTTGTGCCGAATACGGCTAAAGTAATCTTAGCCGTATTTGAAAACCATTTTAAAATGTCAAATATTACACCAACCTGCTAGAATCGCAGCAGAACTAAAAATTTCCCCTGATTAATATGCAGATTTACAAACAAATTAAGCTCAGTACACATAGTATCTATATGTTTTTCTTTCATTTTATTCATCGTAGTCATAAGTAAAGATTTTATATCTAAAATGATAGATTGAGAAGTTAACATGGTTAAATATACGTCTTTTGTTATTCTAAATCAATAAAAAACATATCACATCTTTCAAAATTAATTGATGCAATTGTGTGCATGTAAACGCTTTCTTATATTTGATTATATTTTGGAAAGGAAATATTGTGATTATGATAAAAACGTAATGATACATTTTGCTTTTTTTATTTAAAGATGTCAAAAACAAATATGTACGTTAAGAAAATCAATACAACAAGTGGAAGATTGGTTAGAAAAACATTGATGTCAACAAAGGAGACACTTGATCCAAATCATACACAGTTTGTTTTCATCGAAGATGAAGAAGAACCTACCATAAGCAAGACTTCAACTGAATGTAGAAACGCTTTCAAAAATTTCCTATCGAAAATCAGCACTAAAAATTTAGGTAATATCCCGTTATTTATTTAATATATCTGAAATTAATGTTTTTCAAGGATACATAAGGCTTGAGGTCAAAAGTCCAACTCTTCTGAAAATCGCCTTCTTTTACATATTTGCTTTATTAGTTTTGAATAAAACATGCAAAGTCATTCATTGAATTCCTACTGATGTAACTGTGTCAAGACAGGAACCTCGACAGTGGTTGTCTAGTGTTATATGTGTTTTTAAGATAAGTTTGAGTTTTTGTTTTGAAAGGATTCGCATATTCATAATCCAAGGTGTTAATAGCATCATCAACCCGAGCTTTGCGGTAAATTAAAGGCAACAAGAGTTTGTCGGTATTTTCATAAATTCAGTAGAAAGATAAAAACCAAGATTAACTACAAACCCAGGCAAAACATCAAAACTTAAGGTAAGCATAAACTCGAAAAAAAAAGAAAAATGAGGTGTGTCCACTGAGTATACGCTTTCTACCATGGGCGTGTCACCCACTACACAAATCTGCATTAAAACAATGTTTGATCATTCGATACCATTTGATTTGATGGGTTCGTCTTTTATGAAATGGAACTTTCGGAATATATGCATGCAAAGGGTCGGTTTTTATTGACTTGCAAATTGCCGACTGTCAAGGTTATGTGTATACAGATGTTTTATAAGTTGTTAGTTTTCTTCTTTTTTTGCTAATGGAATAGTTTGCGACTTTAGCAACCAAAAAAGTTAATCATATAAAATATTTTCAAGAGCATTGTTTATTATTTGATGTTGTTATACAAAAACGAAATTGGGGAGATTGTGTTTAAAATCCTTATTTTCGCCATCTGTGATAATATTCCAAATAGAAAAGCATTCAATTAAGACGATCAATAAGAATATTAAAGATTTTTATTTAAGGTCCGTCATGTTGCAATTTTTGCAACTTTTTTTCTGTTTAAGGATCTTGACAGTAAAAGAAAACGTGTTGCAGGATACATTTTAGTCTTCAAATGCATTTTGATTTTTCTTTACAGAGTGTTGGTTAAAGATATGGCTTAATCTATTGATTGCTTCCAATCCCTTGTAAATAAAAATGATTTGGCAAAATAAGTGTCCTTTTTGACAAGAATGTCGAAATACAGTAACCATAACCCGTTTACGATTACCAATACAATAACATTTAAAAGTAAAATAACAATAGTAACGACTCAAAAATGAAAACGGAAATTTCCTTATCAAATGGCAAAATCAAAAGCTTTTAACACATTTTTATATAGTAACCCATTGAAAAACAGAATTATGCAAACATCATGTTCTTCACATGTGTTGCACAACGTGTTGGTCATATTGATTATTGTTTGTTTGGAACTGATTTGAAAAGGTTTATGTAATTTTCAGATTATAAACGAATTGCAATTTTGTTCATAAAACCTTGTGCGTTTTGATTTGTTGTAGATCCTCAGACACAAACTGCCGATATTTTGCCGGTTGTAGTGGTACTAATCGAAGGAGGAATTGAAGCATTGAAAACAGCAAAGAAGATGCTTGAACAAAAAATTCCTATTGTTGTGATTGATGGTTCAGGCGGAGCTGCAAATTTCCTTGCTGCTTGTTATCGATGTTGCCCAAGGTGAACGATGTGTCCTATACTCTCGGTTTTAATTTAGGTTTTACATCAACATACAGTTGCTACCTCAAAACAAGCTAGTTCTTTTTTTTTTTTTTTTCAAAATTGAAACCTAATTACTTTATGATTACATGGACCGTGAAAGTTCAAAACATCTTCAAACCATTATCAATCGCAAAGTTAAGTCAACATATCACATCGATAGCGTACAGCGAAATTCATATGGAGACAAAAATAATTCGAAAACGTCACTCAATTTTGAGCAGTATACAGTCCTTTGATGGTGTAAACTTCCCACTAAAACCATACACCATTACACCATTCACTATACACCATTACACCATTCACTATACACCATTACACCATTCACTATACACCATTACACCATTCACTATACACCATTACACCATTCACTATACACCATTACACCATTCACTATACACCATTACACCATTCACTATACACCATTACACCATTCACTATACACCATTACACCATACACCCTGTGTCATTACACCATAAACGTTTCACCTTTGCACCATACACCTTACACATTACACCATAATGCAATTTAATTTCAAAGAAAGCGTGCGACTACAAAATTATTTATTTATTTTAAAAAACGAATTTTGATCACAATATTGTAAATTAATGTGAAAAATTAAAAATCAGCGACTCTTTTCACAAAAAAACTTACGATTAAAATTAATCGTAAGTTATACTGAAATGTGTATGACTTACGAGTATTTTTACTCTTAAGATTTTTTGTGAAAAGAGCCGCTGTTCTTACCAATATTTTGAATAGTTTTAAATGTCGTACACCATTCCCGATCGCCCGTTACACTATTACACCATTCCCCTTACACCATACACCATAGCACCATACACCTTCTACCATTGCACCATATGCCATGCACCATTACACCAGACACGTTTGTTTGGGAAGTTTACACCATCCAAGGGCTGTACGTGAGTCGAACAACACGCACAAAACCCTCGTCTCTGTGAAAAAGTTTATCATCAAGCGGTACATATATTGATAGGTATATTTTTTTTCAGTAGAGACAAGTAACAACGCGTTAGAAAAAACGGGCTCTCGAATTATTGGCCCATCAGATTAGACGATTGTTGAATATTTAGAACTGTCTCATTATGGGTTTGATCACAGAAATATCTATGATTTGATAAAGTTGCACCTGGTTTATTCTAATATATCACAATCGACCCGGTTTTGTTCATGCTACAACATATATAAGACTGAGTTTTTTAAATAATATCATATGAAAAGGAGAAAGAAAAAGTTCTTCCGTTCACTGATGACCAAATATTATTATCTGAAGATAATCTGGAGCAGGTTTGTCATTTTCTGGCATTGCGCAGAAATATTTGTGGAAATCCACGTTAAATTTTTTTTATCAATATAGCGGCACAGGTATTGCCCTCTTTAACACAATTGTGAATGTGATAAATTTTGAAGGTGAATTTCGATAGGTGGCAGTTGAATTTATGTTATGTTTTTTAAGCACGTGTTTATTCGAAGTGTGGAGAATTTTTTGACATATTACCGTCTAAAAAATCATGATATCATATTGTTTAAAATTAGATTAGTAAAAGAGGCTGAAAGTCTAAGCTTTGAATTAGAATCATAATTACGAGATGAGTAGACCTAAATAGTGCAGTGAAAGAATTCTAATAAAAGCTGTAGTTTACTGGTCTGAATACACAGTTATTTCGTTGTGTAGTTCTTGAAGACAATACATACAAAATAAAAAAAATGCTCCTGCTCTATCTCATAAAGATTTAAATACCGCTTACTAATACTATGGACAATTCTATGTTAAGGAAGTCTATAATTCAGCATGACAGGTTCAGAAATACTTAATTTTGACCTTATTAAACTAAACCAAATCACTACTTCACCTAAAAATACATCACCCACAGTTAAAATTTCATCCGCCTACTTCATATTTCCTGAATAAGATATAAATATATAAATTTAGAATCCGATTAAAATTAAGCAAGCAATATACTGTCCAAAATATAGACTATATTTTTAGACATAGAAAAATCATAGGACGAGAACTATGTACTCGGACAACTGCCTGACCAACTTGCACTTACATTAAGATAAAATTAATGCTACTTTGCAGGAATCTTTATGAATGAAAATTTAACGATGAAGGAACTTTCATCATGACAAAACAAAGTGTCTACGCCTTGGCGTGATCGAAAGTATTTCATGCCTTCATTTCCATGCAAGGAATGGTGAACAGGCTGATATATTGCTTATCAAACTTAGTTCATTATAGAATGACCAATATTTTAAATTTCATTTATTGTTTTGTAACAATTCCAATGCCAAGCCTGCATGGCTACACCTTAATCAAGAATGACAGCAAGCTGTCCTTAAGGTCCCCACATTGTTTTCTTGCTATATGGTAATTGTATAGGGCTTAAAAATCGTGGGATTTTTTTTTCACTGTCAAATCCAGAAGTCATGAATTAGTATAGACGATTTGCAACATCAACATCAAGAAAATTCGTACCCGTTTTGTAAAAGTTTGGAGAATGATTTGTAGGGCTAACGTTTACAACTTAAACAGTTTTATTGACTTTAAATAGAAAGGTTCATAGTAATATACTTTCAACATACATCTTTGGTTTGTTTTCTGAATGTAAACATGAAAACCGGATGTATCAATTTGATTATAAACTAAAAAATAAATTCGGAATTATTATGCAACATTTCTTCAGGTTATCAAGTTGCAGTTAATATTCATGTATTTACTTTTAAACTTGTATTATCATTACTGAAACATTATCAAATAAGGCAATCAATCGCTTATCTTGATCAAATGATCTTCTGCCAGGTGTTTCAATCTTCCTCTGCAAGTAATTAGCGATGTTTAGCCGGATATCCTTCAAGTCTTTAAAACTGTAATCAGAAGGGCACTTTGTATTTTAATACAAAAGGCCTAAGGGTTAAGCAATTACATGAAATTGATTATAATTATTAACAAAAATGGCAGCGGCTAGAGAATCGAAAACAAATTTTGACAATTGCGGGATCATTTGACGGTGGCGAAAGATATTTACGATGGCGATGCGCCATCAAAAAACAGGTTATGGAGCTGCTTTGCTTGATATTGCGTTTGCGTTACTCCAGTTTAGTTTGCGCGTAAGACTTATCACTGACACATGATCAAATCAGTTTATGAATTACTGTGGCCTCAGATTGCTACCGTCTACGTCATTTGATCTTTAGTCGACATACGCACCATTGGCAAACTTTTCACAAATTAACTTTTTTAAACAAATCAAAAAAGTTGAATACAATTGAAACCAACATATCAAAATAGGTGTGACAAAGTTTGGTAAGTCCAGCTATCAAATTATTGATTAACCTTAGAACCAGAATACTAGGCTGGTGACATTTAAACGACTAGTATTGTGATAGAATATTATAAATGACTATCAACTTGGAATTGTTTTATGCATATCATACTCAAGGTATTATTAATGAGAAAACACATTTTTCAAATGTCTACCAACCAGGGTTTCCGCTGGCGAAGAAAAGTTGTGATGATTAAAAATCATTATTGGCGGACTTTTTGAGTTGAAGAATTATAACTGTTCGACTTTGTCCATCTTGTTTTTTTTTCGGGTTTATTAATGAATTATGAATAATATGAGATTCATTTCGATAGCCTCATTTTATCTTGTTTAAGTATTTTAAAAATACAGAAACAAGTCTTTAAACAAATGTAGTTTGCATCTACATATATTGAATTAGCATTTGGCATTTCAATATATTATTTCATTAAACAATACAATCAACACCGTTCTTAATTAGTCCATTAATTGTTGCCGGTAGCTATCGAATGCAGTCAGCTGATTATTGATTTTCTATCAAAATCGTCAACATGTTCAAGGTGAATTTACCCTTAGAACCAGAATACTAGGCAGGTGACAATTACACGACTAGTTTAATGAGATTAGTGTAATGGATTACAACTTGGAATTGTTTTATTCATATCATACTTATTACACAACATGTATTAATTAATGGGAAAACTAAATTTTCAGATGTTTACCAACAAGGGTTTCCGCTGGCATTTTGCGAGAAAAAAAGTTAATCACGAATTCACCTATATTCAAACTGAATCCATTTTCTGAAAATTATATCTGCAATAAACATAAACTTTTAGCTACCTCTTTACAAACCGAAACAAATGCAATGAAAGGTTCGCGATGTACAAGCTTCCGAAGGTGCACAACACACCTTACAAATATAAATTTATTTCGACTTCAAGCCATTCTTCCAATACTAAACCGACTGCCTATTCTACTTACTAGTACACATGGTACAAACAAAAACCTGGTAATACATTCTTCACATAAGGCCTTTAAAAATAGTGGAATTAATTGCTTTTAAAGTGTCAAAAATTCGTTGGAAATACTCGATAAATTGCATGCTTATATAGGTGATTTCAATTCTGTTCAGAGTTTTGATTTTTCTACCCTCATAATCTCATTAAATGTTATAAATTGATTTAAATTCAAATACTTTATATCAAAATAGCTCTATATTAAATTCTTAGATGAATAATTGTCAAAATTAAAAAAAATATCAATAAATGTCTCATCTAATGAAAATTAGATATTTGAATATTCTTCAAAGGCACATTTTTTTATCGTTCACATTGTATATCTTTTTATATATTCATAAAGGTTAATGTATTACAATTCATTTATGTATATATCTATATTTTGATCGACTCTAAATATGAGGTCGGATAGACTTGATCCGGATCGACTTGGGACAAATCGACTTTGGATTGGATTGACATGAAAACTAATTGTATTTGTTTTCTTTTTACCAGTACAACAAATTACTGTATTTGTTATTGGCTGTTTAAACATATTATACAAAAACAAAATTTTAATTTTTGATTTCATATTCCTATACTAATTAAAATATTGGCTAATTTGTTTGTGACGGGTCTATATTTTGAATAAAAAGAGGACAGGTTTGTACCCTAAATTGAAGCGCCTACAATTTTGTTGTCATTGTGTTCTAATATGTTTTTCATTTGAATTATACATCCTGAGTTAACAAATAATGATTTACTATTCACATGATTCAGCTATATTCATTTTCATAATAAAGTGAAAAGGTGGTCAGTTAATTGACTCGGTCATTTTTTTCAATTTTTGATTTTGTTTTACACAAGTGACGTGCAAGTTTGAGATATCTAAAGTGCTAATTTTTGGTAATCTATTCTATCTTACAACAAAGATTTTAAGATCATTTTTGCATTTTAAAACAGATCAGAACTTAAACGTTTTATATATACAAATGTAGAAAAAAACCGCGCGAGCGCGGCATGAAGACTACTTGAATTGTTTACGGTGATACACAGCTTAGGTTCGTGTTTCTCAATCTGTTTTTATGCACTGATGCATTATCTTGATAGTTTTGATTAGTTTGTCAGTTCTTCTTCCATAGGAGTTTGTATGTCCAATTAGTATCTTCTGTCTCGGTGTTACACAGGTACTCCTAGAACGGAGGAGAAGAAAAAGACAACATTGAAAACACTGATGATGAAAACATTTCTTCGTTGTGCTAGTTTGTAGTATTTCTTTTTTAGAGTGGTGCGAGTTTGTCTCTGTGTGACACGGGTGCTCCGAAAAAGGAGAATTCACTAAGAGAAGAAGAATAAAATCTAATGATTAAACACATTTCTTCAAGTTTTTTATATTTCTTTATTTTTTGAGTGGTGCAAGTTGTTATAATTAGTTAGAGTGTTTGCGTGGTGAGAGTTGGCCGTGGGCCGAGTTGTCATAAATTCAAGACAAATTGAATACAAAACCATTTCAGCCTGCTTACAAAACATAGACGGTAAGGAACCAGCTACGGCAGCTTATTTAGGGTTTACTTAATTACGCTACGCTCATTAAAGCAATTCTTATATGAAGTTATCACATACACTGATATTCATTATTATATGATAATTCGGACGATCGTCGCTCGGAGACAAACAGACTAAAACATTTGGTTTAAAAATTCAAAAGTATAGATATTTCGACTGATCAGAAGAAATTGATATTCATTGAAATGTATATTCAATGTACATTATTGATGTAATCAATATCGGTTTCGATTTGTTAAAGGCAAATCAAGAAGAAATGTGTATAACAATCACTTTTGTATGCGCACTTACTAAATGTACAAATGTATTTAATCTGTATTGTTTAAAAATGTTTTATAAATCGGTTTTGAGCGGTCTTGTTCAAGCGTTAAGTCAATGTTGAGCAGACCAGCCAACAATTAACTTTATATCAGATATGGTCCAATCGGAGATGTCAAAATCAAAGTAAACTTATTGCAGGACTGGTTTCAAAGTAAACTCTAGTAGTGAACCAGTCTTAAGTGAAATTTGTCGACAGTCATAAAAACAGTCCAAGGACCAAGTCCAATTTTCAAGTTCACTTGATTGTGGTCCTAGGAACGGTCGGTCAGACCCAAATTCTGTTGCAGGTTATCTTTGACCAGTCATAATTACTGGTTAACAAGTTATCTTGCTGTACAGGTTAGGACTGCACCCATCTATATGTGTATGTGCAATGAAAGCTGCTTACAGTTGTTACAGTTAATTGTCACCTGTCATTATCGTTTGTCATTATTTTTTTAATATAAAGCAGGGCGTTTGATTCCTCCTTTTAACTGTTTCACATAGTGGCATTAATGCATCTTCTGTCTTACTATACATCATAAGTTGAACTTATTCCTGACGATCATCTTTCTTCACCCTGTTGTCTTGAATGATTGTTTTCCTCTTGGTAATCACAGTATACCCCTCTTGTTCAAATTCGTTATTTGTTACACATTTGATTTGAAATCATGTTTCAATATCTATAGTTTTTTTTTCAAATAAATAAGAATAAGTCCAATTAGTTCGTGTCAAATATTTTTTGTTTATTATTAAGCTAACTACAGTTCAATTTGATTACAGTATATACCTATTAGACTATAAAAAATATCTAGAATTTACTTTTTTTAAACAATATGCAAAATAAGCGTTTCTTTTTATTACTTTGTTTTATTATATTGTTTGACAATTACAAGACAGATTGTGTAAGGAGTATATGTAATTCAATTATTGTGTTATAACGAAAATGTGTTCAATACTTGGAAGAATGATTCTTATTCTTATCCTCAACAACCTTTTAATTTAGTTGGTTTTTTTTCTAATAGAGATGATGAACCTGAAAACTCAACAGAATTATTCAAGAAATGTTTTGGGGACAGTTTATTTACGGATGACGCATTAAACCTGTCCAAATCCTGTCTGAAGAATAAGAAACTGGTAAATGTATTAGCTAATTATCAAATATCAAGGAAATATGAACTATAAATAAATGCATTTAAAATAGTAATTGAATTGATCAATAGCGGAATAGATTCAAAATAATTCAATTTAATTTTAAAGGTTTATTAACTTTATGTAGTTTCAAGGAACTGTTATATATCCGATGTTAGGCACTGGACCAATTTCATTGGAAATTGATGCAAAACAGACGTTGGAAATATCGTCTTGTGCTATGTTATAAGACCAGACACTAATTGATTGGCATTGAGAGAGACGTCTGCTATCTTCCAGAGAACACCATGACATTGGAACAAATAACCAGGATTTGTAGTGGAGTCCGGATCAATAAAAGGCAAAACTGGATTTAAACATTGTCATTTAAGACGATTATTTCTAAAAGGAATGAACTAATGAATTGGGACGTTTTACTTATTTGTAGAGCTTTCGTAGCTGACCGTTTGTTGCTGGTTAAAGTTTTTGTCTTTATGTTCAATAGACTAAGCCATAATCGCAAATAAAATGTATAAAATCCTTATTGGAGGCGAATGAAAATTACAGCTATGCCACTTATCATTTAACTTATAATTAGGTCTTTCCATTTTTCCGTGGAAAGACCTATTAATTTTGTTCCTGATTATTATTTTTTTTCTGTCGCTAATTTTATTTCTTGCCAGAAAAATTCATTTCGCAAGATGTTGCTTAAATATTTAGTATTAAATCAAACAGTTACATGTAATATATATATATATACGCTTTTCAAACTGACACCGTTCAACTGAACACTTTCATTGTATGAGTTAACTCCTAAAAAACTGTTTTTCTTGTGATTTTTTCTCCTTCGCAACCGTAAATGAATCCGACACATTAACTGTTCAAAATTGCTCGTTATATCCACAGGTGGTCGAAAAAAAATGACCAAAGCGATTCCGAGATTCCATTTGAAAGTTATTTTCCCTTTATTTATTTTATATAACTGAAATTCATTTGATACTGGTAAACAAAAGTAATAGACACCTTGGCTCCTTTGTTTGAGATCCAGGGTCTACCAAAAAGAGAACAAAAAAAATGAGGTCAAGGGTCATGTTTTGGATTTAATGTTGACTTATTAAAGCTTCTCATCAGAAACCGTATAAGATATCGACATAATATATGTAATATTATTAGTTACGACATGCCGCAACACATATAAATTGGTTGAAGGGTTGCGTTGACCATAGTTTTCTCCACTCTTACATTTTAAATTAGCTGTATGGTCATATAACTCATTAATCATATACAGTGATATATAGGAGATATCTAGGGTCGTTTGAAATTAGGTCCTTGCTTAAAGTCTTGAAATTTAGACCAAGGTCGAAGGTAACATTTACGTTCAAGATATTGACCTTTGTAATTAATTCAAACGGGTTTGCTGCTGCTGCTGCTGTTGAGTCTTTTTGCTTTTAGGTGGTCTTCATGATTTTAGTTTCCCACTCACTTTAAGAACCACATTTCCCACACCATTGGTGGCTCTTTTTTCAACATCTTTAAGATCTACATTGGCGGAAGCGCTAATGTCTTTATTCCCTACAGTCTTTGTGGTTGAGTGGTAATCATACGTTTTAGTTTAATTGGCGATTGTGTCTATGATGCTTCTACCACCATACACATACTTTCGATCGTATCTTTTATTAATTTCCAACACTTATTCATAGGAGTCGATGATGAATCTGCTTGTACTCCTCACTGCTGATCAAGCGGCTTTTTTTATGGCGTCGATAATGTCTACGATCTCATTGCGTACACAATTGTCCTAGTTCGATAAGAGGCTGCACACACCTCCAATCGATCTAGAAACTGATTAAAGTAAGTTTTGAATATCATCGATGTCTTCTCCAAATACGGCTGGTTAGAACCGCTCAAAAACAAGAAAAGTATCACGGTAAGAGATGCTTTCTAACCGGTATTAAAATCATCACGCTTTCCAAAGACGCTTTTGACAGACAACGGAACTTAAATTTACAACAAGGAGGTCAAGGAGTTACTTCGGAAGTATGACATTGAACTGAAAAAAAGTCGAGTGTGGTTGAACGCTGGTACCGCACAATAAACGAGAAAATGTTCAAATACTTATCAGCCAACTCCGCGCGCACCTACATTGATGTGTTGAGTAATCGTTTTCACCAGTACAACACTTACAAACACAGATCTATTAAAATGACTTGGTGAATGTGGCAAGTCAAAATTAACATAAAATAAAGTGTACTGGAACATGTATGCTGGCATTCCTCTCACGCAACAGGCTCGAATTTTAGTAAATGATTAGGTTCGAATCACCAGAAAGAAAGTTGCATTTGAAAAGGGACTAACCCCCTAGGTGCACCAACGAAGTATTCAGTTTGATCCAAGCGTTAAACCCCACAACAGTAACCTACCATCTCAAAGATTTCAATGATGAGGAGATACAAGGTTCTTTCTATGAGCCCGAACATCGGAAGACTTATCAAAAATTGTACCGCATCAAAAAGGTCATACGAAAGCGAACCCAGGTTGGCGTTAAGGTTACAATACACCATTAGATTTTATGGGCGCAGCCATTTTATGAGCATAACATGGTATTCAGAATTAAGAGTATAGCTAATCCTGATTGGTTGATATGTGCGCCCGTTATTTTTTGTAATTAGAGACTTCGTGCATTCTGCATTATACCAAAGGCCAAATAAATTATTATCCTTAGCCCTAACGGAACTGAGATGTCTTTTAAACGCTAGGATGAGACACGTATTTTTAAGTGCAAAATTGATAGGGATGGGAGATAAGTACAAATTACGCTAAAAAAAGCAACGCGAACCTATATTTTTTGGACCAAAAAATACTGTCCTAATAACTTTTCTTTAATTCTAGCAAGGTTTCGTTAAAAAAATCAGCTTTCTAAAGTCTGTATCTCGAAAAAGGCTATCATTGTCGCCTATGGGGAAGTTAATTGTTTATGTCAATCTATACAGCGTCGCATTTCTTTATCATACTGCTCAAAAAGTGTCAAAAACAGTAATTTTACTTGATATTTGATGTGAAACCGTATTTTTTGGTGACAAATCAATTATTGATTAACTTGTTTATAAGATATAGTCTGTTTCATATTTGTATAGCGTTTTACCTTAGAAACAAGGGTGGGTTCGACTTTTGACTTACTGTGGAGAGAATATGTCATTTTCTGAACTTCTGCTGATTTGTTTGAAAAAAGCACGTACACGTCTAGAGTTTGGATATACAAATCGGTTTTTAAACATGACAATCTCGATCCAAGTGCTGTAATCAAAATTACCAAATTCAGTGAAATTGTACAGAAATGATCCCCTTCGAACATTGAAATGTTCACTCGAATGGCAGACTATAAAAATTAGAATAGGCATGACATTTTGTAGTTAACAAATAGTTTTCGATGTTTCAACACAAATATTTACACATATTTCATATTTTGAAATGCTATAGTCTGTTTCAAAAATGTACTTTTATACAAAAATGGTTTCATTTAAAACTGTTGTTCAAAATTCACCGTATTAGTTACATATTGGATCGGTTTTTGTATCAATATAAACAGTACTTGATGTCATATAAAGAATAATTGGAGAAAGTGGACATTATCTTCAGGCCGTTTTTAGCAGTACCGCATTTACTAAAAAAATCCGAATTTTTTTTTCACATTTTTTGACTGGGGTTACCTCTGATAAAAAAATGTGAAAATTCAGAGAGTAATGCCAGAACGTTTTGAAGATGATTTTTGTGTGGCATATATATTTATGCATCTAACGAACTATGAATTGCATGATTCTAGAAAGTATTAAATACCGTATAGGTTACAATACACCATTAGATTTTATGGGCGCAGCCATTTTATTAGCATAACATGGTATTCAGAATTAAGAGTATAGCTAATCCTGATTGGTTGATATGTGCGCCCGTTATTTTTTGTAATTATAGACTTCGTGCATTCTGCATTATACCAAAGGCAAAATAAATTATTTTCCTTAGCCCTAACGGAACTGAGATGTCTTTTAAACGCTAGGATGAGACACGTATTTTTAAGTGCAAAATTGATAGGGATGGGAGATAAGTACAAATTACGCTAGGAAAAGCAACGCGAACCTATATTTTTTGGACCAAAAAATACTGTCCTAATAACTTTTCTTTAATTCTAGCAAGGTTTCGTTAAAAAAATCAGCTTTCTAAAGTCTGTATCTCGAAAAAGGCTATCATTGTCGCCTATGGGGAAATTAATTGTTTATTTCAATCTTAAAGAGGTCTTCAGAGGATACTCTTAGTCATTATTTCTTTCATCATACACTCATTCATTGAATATTAGTAATTGTTTTTTTCTTTGCAAATGAACTAAGAACAAAAAGGTCGTGAACAAAAAACGTGAAGGTTAGCCAAGGGGTTAAAAAACTGTCATCATGACGAAACGCATTGATCTTACTTTCCAGGGCTTCAATATTTACTGTAGTTGATTCGATCACGTTTTCTGTTTAAATTGATCGCTTAAATTTTCCCGTAGTATGTTACAATTGAACAAACATCACTAGACGGTCAAAATATTTCCAGTTTTCCTCCTCCATCGCCAACGAACATTTCACAGGTGCATCGATTTTTTGCTGCGTGGTGGTTTCAGACTTTTTTCTCGATTATCATATTTTTTCTCCATTTGTTTTTATTTTTGTCTTCATTTATTTACACTGGGATTGTTATTGTGATTCTAATTGATCCGTATTGTCTTTCACTTGTTGCATGACCAATCGTTTTATTGCAGCATCCGCACCGTGACTCGGAGGTTACAGGTTGGTGATACTATTCTCGTTCATATCGGTCATACTATCGATATTCATTCCTCTTTCACTTCCATAAAATACAAATTTATCCATTTTAGTTAAAGCTATTACGACTTCATCAAAAGGTCGACCTTCCGACAACAATTTAAACACATGCAAACAAAAGTGCTCACATACCTCAATTCCTCTCTCTTGCAGTTCATCTGTACTGTAGTAGATCTCAGGTTCTAGGTAGTTCATCATCTCATCGACTAGTAGGAGTCCATAAGAGATGAAGTATACCTTTGTTGGTGTATTCTTGAACCAACACGTCCAATGTGTTCCTGGACCAATAAAAGTGTCATGGTTTAAAATACCACACTCTGTACTCTGTGGTTTGGAAGGAAAGGCGTCTTGAATATATACTCCTCTCAAAAGAGTCAACAACTCTCTTCAGCTCTCTGTTGGATAAGGATTTTTTTCGGAATCATTATGTGTACTTGATCAATTAGTCTTCTATTCTTGAAACAAGGGCAGAGTTGAAATTGTCTTTCGAATAATTTTTGCATCTGTTTACATGTGTTAATTCCTTTTTGTTCTAGAAAATATTGAATGATTATTACATCTATAAGGTTTGTTTGATACAGTCATTCTTTTTGTTTGATATTAAGTAGTTATAAAAGTATTTATTACTGATAGTAATGTCCGTAATGTCCGTAAGCTAGAGTTCTGATTCCATTTGTCAAAATGTGTCGTTTGTCGTCATACGACGAAACAGCTTTCTTACAACACTTAATTGTATAAACCTGGTGCTCAGCACTTCAGATCATAGTAAAGGTCTAGTAGTTCTCTTTATGCCTCTCTAGACATGTCTTGTAGTCGGCAAATTTGAGTCCGGATTTCACAGTGCACTTTTTACCCCTTTAGCTTTCTTCGTCTCGCCTTCGCCAATCTTAATGGCATACATCCTCAGCCGCAAACATATAAACTCAGTCACGGGTGATCCTGTGCATTCATCTTTAAACATCCAAAGTATTTTCTTGTTTATACCCATCTCAATGCCGGAAGAATGAACGCTTGGATAATTAGATGTGTCAAACCATTGCCGCCCATTGTCGTTCATGCCTTGTAAATATCTGGAGTTTTTACATTGCAAATAATACTGTAGGTATCTGTGTAATGTATGGTTACTCTGTCTGTGTATGTTGGCTTCTGGTATTTGTACACAAAATCTGTCACTAAGGTCTTTGACCGGTCAAAAAAGTTCGCTAAAACTAACCAAGCGATCAAAATATGTTTTTCATTGTTAACAAACCGGACGTCCATTCACCGTCTTTTGTTTTCTATTGTCTTGTCAAACACCGTGTTGTTCATTTGTTCATACGTTTGAAGAAAAACTCAAAATTCCATCTTTGCAGCATCTCATAGTGTGGTGTTCAGGTAAATATATTTCTTCAACCATGGACTTTGGTTGAACCTAATCACCCGGTGAATTTTCTTTATTTTTAGTCCAAGTTTAGATATTATTTTAGGTTGACGTAGTGTTTTTTTTTCATACTTCTCTTTGTCTCAAAGGTTTAGCATTAATTTATTTTCTTTGTTCAACTGGAGAGTTTATGGAGCGAGTGGGTAGTCATTGTGATAATCGTGATGCTCTTTAAAATACTCAAAATGTTCAAATCATCAAAGGTGGTCAGTAGTGTCTTGTTCTCCAAGCTGCACATTACATACATAACTGTTGTTCCATCGATATTATAGCCTGTGTCCCTGTTATTCATTGAGTGTTTTGCAAGTACAGTTTAACGATAGAGTCTATCATATGTCTCATATCGCTGTAAAATCCTCAGATGTGAGTGTAAACCATATCCAAATAATGATGGCTAAAAAATGTGACTTGACATTATCCCGGGTTTCCTTATTTCGAACCATCCATGGTTTGGATTCTACTTTTTCAGTCATGCACTCAAAGTTCGCATAAACCCACAGAAGAAACTCTGATTGATCTGTCGTTGTTCTGAAAGCTTTGGTAGATTCCTTCAACAGGCATTTCAATTTAACCCATTTTGTGATTAACAGAATATTCGTTATAAGTCTCAAGTACATCATTGTTGTGAACGTGGTTTAAGCACCTATAGCACAGATATATCTCACTATCGTGTTCCTGAACCTGGCTCGAAATTAGTCGGGACATATTTTTTATCCAGCAGTAGTGTTTTTGCCCCTTACCTTCCACCAGCAACATGTTGATGTCTCTATCTATGGCTTCGCCTACATCTGAAATTCGCAGCGAGTATATCTCGTTTTCATCAATCCCTTACACATTGACTGCCAGAGTACGGTTGGTTTTCTCAAACTTGCTTATATTCTTAAGGATCACCGAGAATAACAATCCTTCCAGGTTTAGTTCATCATTCCACCTGTAGTACTTGATCACACTATATGTAGGTTTTTATCTACCTCCTTATGATACACTCATAAAAGTATTGTCCACTTGAAACACTCATCATGGGTATTCTTTACATTATTCACAGCTTCCTTAAGTTCAATCCAATAAGGTAGGGCTATAAACTGTGACTAAGACCATCGTATGTGCTTGTTAATGTCAAATTGCAATTTAACAATTTCTTTTTATGTCCAACCACTCATCTCAGAGGTTCACTGAGCAATCTGTCCCCCGATTTTTTTATCCATCACTTCCAAAATTTCATTTTCGTTGGTGGCTTTGGTAACATTTTTTTTTTTCACGAATGAAAGTGTCCCTCATTTTCGTCGTTGTCTTTACCCTTGTGGATATTTTTTACAAAAATACAGTGTGACACCACACTAATTTTAGCCCCTTTCAGTTTTCAATTATTTCCTTCCTTGCAACTCGCGAATCTCAAGAAAGGTCTGAACATTCATTTAAACATCCGATTTTATTCTCCAGGTGGTAAATGTGCCAGTCAAGGCTTTCTCTTGTACACGTATATAAATCATTAATTCCTGATCTTTTTTCTTTTTTTCTTTTTTCTCACTTACTTTTGCCAATAGATAATTTTTAGGGAACCTACTGACCCAATCAAACCCATGTTGTTTTGCCTTGGTTATAATTTCATCTTGCTTCTTGGGTGTGGGTGCCCGCTTAAATTTGCGGTCTGTTTTGGTTTCAACCAACTACAACAACGGATTGTTTTTCATCAAAGAGTACCCTTTGAGAACGACATTTTTGTCATACTTCTTAATTGTTTTACTGTTTCACCAACAACCGTATTCATTTTATCTATCATCACAATCCTGTTATTTATATCTTTTCATTTGGAAGGGGGCGTTTTGTTTTGGTTTGTTTCGGCGGGAAAGCATTCAGAATCTTTTTTCTTTTTGTTCAAAAGAAAAAGAAAAACATACAATAACCACTCGTGTTGGTTAGTATTTTGTATTGTCCCTTACTTTTCAACTGTTTGTCTGTTGGTATGGTTTGTAAGATTTGAAATAGCTATTTTGTTTTAACATGTTGAAAGGACCCTATGTTTAATTTCATTTTTTATAATATTTTGTTATTTTTTTAAAATATTTATTTATTCAAGTTGTTTACCCTCCTCGACGTATATGTTCAATCTTTATTATACCTTAATTTCTGTATGTCTATAAACAACAATGATAAAATCAACATTTTTATAAAAATGCTTTTGAACCTCAATTATTGCATTTGGGGCAGGTCTGTGACTTCTTTACTATTTGCATCATGATTTGAGTGACACATTTTGTTGAAGTTTTCTTCGATTCGGTTTCTTTCCTTTACACTTTCCTTTTGTGTGTGAGTTTTTTGTTTGATTGCTGTATAGTTGACGTATACCGCTAATTTAGTTTTCCTCATATGAAGACTAATTCCATGAACATGTATTCTTAAACCTTTATATTGAAGAAAACACCTAATCTAGAGTATTTGTTTATTTGATTTAATTTTTTTCTTTCTCCATTTTCTTTCTATAAAAGTTTAACAAAACTATCGATATCCAAGGCAAATTCAAAAAACGGAGAAGTCCATAAAAACTGACAAAATTAAACGTTATCAAACCAAGTTTTACTTTTATTTTGTATCCTTTTTTTATGTGCATAATGTTATGTTTTCTAAACGTTTATTTGTTATGTTGTCTCAATAGAGGAACACGACAATTACTAGTACATGTTTGTATCTGAAGACAATCTTATTTTCATATCGGCAATCGATCTTTTAAAACGATTTTCATTCTACATCATTGGACCAAAGATTAATGACTCACAGAAACGTTTTTATTTCGCGGACACCACTACGTCATAAACCGTTGACAGCATAGTATTGTTATGTTTGTATGTACGCAAACACGGTAGAGAAATTTGTCTTTTGATATACTTCACTATGCGCACTACTTCTTACTTCAATACGTATAATGATATATTGTATACTTCACAGGTTTTGATGTCATTTTGACAATTGAGCTATCAATTGCAAGTTCTGTTTCTGTCAATTATCATCTGATTAACAAAGTAAGATTTGCTTTTACTGGAATCTAGGCTATATTTCAACTCAATGATGTTATAAATAATTTTGGCGATTTTTAAACTCGACTGCTTGAACGTTACCTTTACAAATGTCCCGGAAAATGCAAATCCAAAGTCATGGTGTTATCGTTTTGTACTTCACCGTGCAGTTGTTATTGTAAATAATTTTCATGCGATGTTAACATCAAAAATGAATTATCGATCTAAACTTCGTAATATTGTAGATTTACATGTATTCACTCAATGATACTACGGCCAAAGTTGATATGTCCATTCAGAATGCTTTGTTTGACATATATAAAGGTATGTTTCAATATAAGTATTTGAATAGAACCCATTCACACACTCAAATGAATGTCCAAATAGCACACAAAGAACATCTGCATTGTTGTGGCGTGGTTTTGACTGAAAATTGACTTGATAGATCTTCTGAGAGAATGGCTGCCCGTAAGATGTATTCTAATTTTTGTTCTTTTTTGTTAAATTCATTTCGAATTTTTTGTACTGTAAGTCTAGAAATTATTGGAACGTTTTTAGAAATGCGAATAATGCGACTGAGTGAGTATCACAATAATAGGATACAAATCAAATGAAACATTGATCTCTATGTAGAGTGTCCGAAAATCGTAATAATTAAGATAGCATTGTTGTCCATTCTTCACAAATTGCGATTATAAATGCACGCAATAATTTCTGAATTTACAGTATCATTATTATTTAAATCGATATTTTGATTTCGATTACCATGAATGCATATGAATTTGCTCGAATGACATTATTTTGATCTTTTGAAAAATCATTTGAATTGTTAAATCACGTAATATCAATAAAGGCAACAATAGTATACCGCTGTTAATAATTCGATTGGGCAAACTAAAAATCTGGGTAAAAACTAAAACCGAGGAAAACACATCAACTATAAGAGGAAATCAACGGAACAACAGAAACACTGAACTACAACAACAGCAAACGCCAACGTTCATAGAAACATAATGTAGATAACAACTGCCACATTCCTGACTTAATACAAGACATTAAAAGACAAAGTGGTTGGTTCAATCTGGTTTAATGGCTAGCCAAACCTCCCGTCTATAATATGACAATGTTATAAAATACCATTAAAATGACAACACTACAGGACGGAAAAACAGTACAAACAAACGCAAAAATACTCAGCATAGAGAAATACATAAATACATAATATAATAGAACATTACAATATTTAAAACGCAGAATAACAACGGACATCACAAACGAAATATAAATAGTGCGTGGCATGAATGGATCAACGTCAGAAAAAGTGACGTTAATTTTACCACATGTAAATTTCTAAAAAATAAAATAGATTTGTTTTATTTATAGACACAGATATTGCGAACAGGAATAAAAAACATACAGTACAAATAAAAGTTCATCAACCAAATGTTCTTATATTATTTGTTGTTATATTATTACAGTCTTTGTACAGTTGCTGTTATATTATTACAGTATATTAAATTTTATTTATATAACACGATGGAATTTAAAAAAAAGATTTAAACACAACAACACATCAGAAGACTAAAATACATTTAATAATTGATATCCGGTGTTCAGTAGTTAAAAACTGCAGATGTAAACACATTATGTCATGCTTTTAATCATATAGGTTCTGACAATAGATAAGCAAGCAATTACTAATTTTCGTTGACATAGGAAAGACATACCTTGATGCAAAAGAGTTCAAAGTTAACCTCTTTTAGGCAATTGAATCAATGTTTTTTTAATTCATTAATGTTTAAAATATTAAAAAAATAACTGTGTTCTAAGGAATTTTTGAAAATCAAGATAAAGATAATGGATCGGTAAAGACAACAATCAGCGCAATTCAGACACAATTGAAACTTGTTGAGAGATGGAATAGATGTGACCTAGCTGAAACACACATATTTATAGATAAAAATCGATCAGAGCTTTCAAAACTACAGGTAAAGACAATTCAATGTCTTCAATTCTAAACATGAGCATTGTGCACTAATTTTTAAGAATTAAAACACTATATAAATAACACTCAGCTGAGAGGTGGATAGAGTAGATTGCCAAGGTTGACAATGCTTTTTCGAGAGGTTCCAATCTGCTCTATCACCCTTTCAGCTATGTGTTATTTAATTTATTACACTGTCCTTTAATTATTGTCTTTTACAGTTGGATTTTAAATTCAAAGTATTTTACTATGACGTCACGTACATAACAACGTTACGGGCTTTAGAAAAATCACCAGAAGTGTAGCAAGATGTTTTATTCAATAAAAAAGTTCTGAGCCAAAACGTAGATCTTAAGCATTGTCTTTAATTACTTGATGTAAATTCAATTCAATGTCCTTTGAATTATCGATTTTTGATTGGTCTGCACGAGAGGGTGACATTCAAAAAATTGTCTCCCGCTCAGCCATGGGATAGAGTATATTATTTCGTTCGTGTTAACCAATCAAAATCTGACATTTTAACGTGAAGTATAAATAAATAAACTATCAACAATTAACAATATTCCTTTTTTCCAAGAATAATTCATATCCACTATCTAATTCAATACAGTACACATTGATCACATTAATAGTATTATCATAGATATCAGCTCGACGAAATACACCAATGAAATAAAAAGCAACCATATTTTTTTTTTTTTTGTGACAATATTAAATAAAATGTGTTTTTAAAATACAAAATTCAATAAATCAAAAGTTTTCAAATGACAATTTGGAAATCATAATTGCGGGTTTTGAATTTCAAAATGTTCATTATCCAGTTTTTATTCTCCTCGGCTTGGAAGTAACCACAGTGTGTCTAACGGTGTGTTTTTCTTGAATTGAATAATCGAAACCAATAAAAACTATTCGTTGTAGATGCTCAACATTTTATATATATATATAAAAAACACTTATTAAGTGTTCTAAAAACAAACATGTTTTATAAGACAAAAACATTATTTTTCATTACAGGAAAACACTCGAGATAGCGTTTTGGGACTGTTCCGGTCTTCGCTTTTTAAAAACAGAGCAAACTTTGTCAGTTTGATAATGAACAGAATTAACGACATGATAGACTTTGTAGAGTTGTATCTCCCGGGAATATACTTGGAAGTAAGTGGTGTACTTCTTCAAAAACATAGCAAACATACTATTATATAAGTCATGTTGTTAAAACTGTGGATTCATTTATTTTCGTGGGTACCAATTTTCGTGGATTGCAGACGACTTGCCTTTTTGTGGATATGTGATTTCGTGGAATTGTCAAATACTGCATAGAACCTGATAGAAATTTGTATTTCGATGAACATTTAAATTGGTGGTTCATCTTTATCCACGAAACCCTCGAAAATTGGTATCCAACGAATAATAATTAATACACAGTATCATATTACACCCTTTCTGAATTATAAAAAATACCACACTGTTGACAATGTGAATATAATAATAGGTTTGATTGTCAATGAAACAACAACTTCAAATTACATTAATGAAACATAAATGTTTGCAATAATAGGCAACGGAACTGCCTGCAACATTTAGTAATCCCCTACCGTAACGTCAGACATGACAAAATGTTAATCAAATCAAACGAGAAAACCAACGACCTGATTAATGTCAAATATAAGCAAATAAACAATTATGACACACAGAAACATGTTCGTAGTTATGCAATGTGCATACGAACTTATAATTATGTAGAAATTAATCATGTGAAGCTGACTCACACTACTGCTTAAACTCGTAGGTTACAATGTAAGGTACACTAAATATTTGCATACAAAGTCAAATAAAACAATCGATCTATTTGAAGTTATAAAACTATATATGTGTAAAGCTTCTAAATGTTTATATTTCAGTGCTGTGAGAATACCAAAGAATATCTAGCCATTCAACTTTTTAAAGAGGTATTTTATATTAAGCATGATATATATTTCGAGTTCATTTACAATTTCTTTTTCTATGTTTGTGCTGTACACAATGAGTTTGCCACCTTATTTTATTTACATTTTACAGAATTTAGCGTTTCATAAGTTATGTCAAATGTGTGTGTGTCACAATTTGTGCCATAATGTTTCATATTTTATCATTCCTTGCTATCGTTCAAATAATGTAGCATGAACATGCAATGTATTGTCATTTGAAATAAATTTATTTGTTGAAAGTGATCGGAAGACCAAATGTGTTGTGTTTGGGTCAAGATAAGTACAGTCGGAACTTATATTTAAATGCTTTTAGCAATGGGAGAATGAAGGAAAAACCAACATATATCTAGATTCCGGCCAAATAATGAAAAGTGTTACAGATTTTATCAGAAATTTGTTAGGAGATACAAATTTCGAAATGTACACCTTGAAAAGAGAAAAAGAAACAGGTAAGTTTTGATTTTGTCAAAAAAAAAAGAACGTAACACTTGATCAAACAGTAACACCATAATATATACAACATGAACAATATTGGTCCTACATTAAACGAAGTATGTAACCCAGTTCTAAAGGAAAAAAAGCGAAAAGAATAAAATTGCAAAACAGAATATAATATGTTGCAGCGAAAGTTAACTGACACCTTCCTATACATGGACTCGTTTCCTGAGTTACAAGTCACACCAGGATACTAAAAAGACAAACTATGTCTTTATTTCACAATTTTATAATAAAAACTGCAGAAATGTTACTGCTCCAGAATCTAAAAAACTATGAATGATAATAACTGATAGCCTAGTGAAAATGTACATTTTTCAAGAATCGTAAACGTAATAAAAAACCTAAAGTTTTTGACATTTTAATGATAGCGCTTGATCTTAAGATACTATGGTAAATGTGTTTTTTTTTTATATCCTTTCGAATAATTTATTTTTACTGATATATTTGTTTCTCTAATTCTTACTCGGTTTATCCTTTTCCTGACCTGTTGATTATTTTATTTAATCAACGTGTGGTTCGTGATCTCAGTTGTTCAATGGTAAAAATTCGATTATGACATCAAATATTCTTCCTTTCCTCTTAAACTCCTATTATGACGTCATGAAAAAAAGGCGAACATGCCTGATGACGTTACGTAGAGAGAACACATTTGTTTGCAGGTCGTTCGAAAAGAAGGATTAAGAGAATCTGCATATCGTCTAAAATCATTAGAGAAAGAGATTCCACCACCAATTATCGGGCAATACGATAGTTATCCCCTCTCGACAGTTAAATTTAAATATTTAAAACACTCGGCGAGCCTCGCGTTATAAAACTGAAAATTTAACTTTCTCGAGTAGATAAATATCGTATCACACTCGATGCAGTGGTAGAATCTATATATCTCTGAATGAAAAGTATCAGTCTCATTCAAGAGGGCCAACAAACATGATATTGTGTTTAAACAAGTTAATATTGTTGAAATAGCTAGCGATTTGAAAGTCCAGGTATAATATTGGAGAACAAACACATTTTTGTTATTCCACCAAAGACCTCATTTGCCTAGTGGTGTCAGTAGTCGAAATACTGTATTACTAGCCTGCCAACACTGAAGTTGTGAGTTTCTATAATGACGTGCCAGTTAAGCTGGACTCTTAATGGACTAGGATTGTCAGCTTTTCCACCTATCAATTTCTACAAAAAATATTGTGGTATTAGATTTGATATTCAATATTTTATTTCAGAATTGAGCTGAATAATATTACCTAGCTTTTGTTAAATTCACGTTTTTTATTTTCATACCGTTTTCCATACATTCCTACAGTGAACTGATAGTAACTACACGACGATGCTTCATTTTATTATACAACGAGAACAATCGAATACTGCAGCTGGATGAGCTGGTTTAGATGCTCAAAGTTCCTTTTAACATGTACAATGGAAGCATCTGACGAGAATTTATATCCTACCGTTGAAACTCAGTTAAAGAAATAACCCTTTAGCCATCCATTGTTGATGATTTATCAATGAAAGAATCAATCTGCTTGATAGAGTCGTGGTGAAAGGATTTTTTTTATTATAACCGATTAACAACAAACCAATTATAGTCGTAATTAGCAAACGACGTACAAATCCTTTCTTTTTCTATCATTTAACTGTTACATCATAAATTCTTTTGTATAACCTTGTATTGAGTTCCATTTTTGCATTACATGTAGGCGATGTTTTTTTTTAATTTTATTTCCGTTGTCCATTTTGTAGACTGTGTTATCTAAAGGTACAAATGATCACATCGAAATATTTTTTTATCAGCTTTGCTCGACATAAATATCATCAACTCCCTGGATAAAAATGCTTGTAATTTTTCTTTGTATTTTATTGCAATTATTGTCAAGATTTAAACGACAACGGGTCTTTTTCATTCGTTTCATGCCCGCAAAACAAGGTAAAATTCTTCTATGGACTACCCTCCCAATTAAGGTCAACAGGATGACAGCCATGCTTAGTTTTCAAATAAAAGTGTAGAAACAAAAACCACTCTAAAACAGGGACATATGTGAAGGAGAAATACCTATCACACGTTGAAAAAAAACATATACTTATCCGTCTATGGCGTTATGGTTAACGACCCAAATTACTTGTAAAACATGACTTGGTTGATTATTACATTTTGCAAGTAATGGTTATTTATTTACAGTCAACTTGTACTTATTTTTTATAAACTTATACTAGTTATTTCATTTAATAGTGAATAATAACCTTGCATTTTAGGAAAAGAAAAGATTGAATTTCATTACAGAAAGAGGCCATTCTATCATCTTTTTGTTTGGGCAATTTTTATGAATAGGAAAGATTTAGCAAATATCTTCTTGGCAAAAGACACCGACTATACAGGTTAGTTGCTTAATATGGATATATTTATAATCATTCTTAAGATTTTCAATATAGAACAATGTTTTAACGTTCACACTCTTCATCGTTCGTTTATTAATTTCAAAGGAATGTAATGTTTCAAAGATTACAACTTACTTAAGATTGCGTATATGATGAACGAAATTGGATTGTTAAGCCAGTAATCCAACATCGTTATATGCGTACACATAATTTGTATACTATGATATTCTAATTGGTAAACATATTATTTTGCATAGTAAAAATCATATAAAAATGAAAACAAAATTCTTTAACCACATTGCATAGATGTGTTCTAAACATAGAGTACTATGTATACAATGTATAGTATTACTTTCAAACCGTTGATAAGAGCGTTCTCGGCTGAAGGATAAATAAATATAACGTGTGTTTAGTGTATTGATCTATATGCTTTAGTCTGTTTGGACAAGATTTGTGGTTTCAGTTTTTTGGTTGGTCGTATGAGAATATGTGTGCTCATATTAGAATATATATAGTTAATTTTGTGTCAAACATCTTCCACCTGTGCGCGTTTTGAATTTTCTCAATGCAATTAACGTTTTTCTTTCCAACCATAGGTCACTGTACGGCCTTAAACAATGAGCAAAGTCCATACAGCATAGTCAACTACAATGGGTTCCGAAATGACAAATGTAAAACAATTCAAACTTGAAAACAAACGCCGTAATTTATTTACAAAAAAAATGAACGAAAAACAAATATGTAACACAGCAACAAATGACAACCACTGAATTAAGTGTTTATTGATATCATACTTGAAATTTGTTATCAACGTTAGTGAACAGACATTTATGTATTTATCTCTTATTACAATTTCTATAAAAAAAAATAAAACGGCCACGTAGTTATTCAGGGTTTCTGCTGTAGAACGCATCTCTGAAGTGTACATTAAGCATCATCATTAAAATTGATTTTTGCACACAATAATAGTTCTATGGGCAATAATATATTCATCACGGGGGTTTGAAAGATTTCAACTACGGAAGTAGAATAAAATTGCATTGATCTTTTAAAGTTAGGAATTGGTGATATTCACTAATATAAACCGAAGTGAATACATTTTGCCACATGATCTGTTGTTGTCACAGGTAAAGTGTTCTTGAATTGTGGATTTATTGTTAGCCTTTTTTCGTTTCACCTAAAAACAAAACCCACATTTGTGGTAATTTATTGATCTTCGAATCCGTGGTGATCATGAATATCCGTCTCCCGGAAAGCAAATGATTGCATGCAAAAATCATTACTATTTTCCTCAGAATATGGTTCTATTTGTGAATAATCCAATTTGTTAATATGTTATTCAAATCTTAAGGCTTTTGTCAAAAACATACAGCACCTTGTTTAGAGTGACATCTTAGCTTATTCCTACCTTATAAAACTTGCCGATTTTTAGCCAGCATACTTGCTGAATGTGTTCATTCCTATTACGTTTTAGCTTCTTGTGGTTGGTTCGCTGATCACAAAATAGTCAACAGAAGTGTCAACGACTTAGTGATACTAAAAAGACTGCTCATTGCCATTACAGCATTAACCATTTTGTAAACACAAGTTTTATTGTGATTTTTCCTTAACAATTTTCTCAATTGCCTATGTTACTTGCTTATTACATTAATGACCCTTTACCTAAACCAAAACTAACGGAATAATAGTATATGATGATTAATTTTGCATTTATTTAACAATTCATTTGAAAAAAATCGAATCATCAAATATTTTGTTTTTAGATTTAGCAAATAAATGGAACGTATTTGAGGTCCGTGTATAGCTATAGTGCTACATTTACTATAAACAAATTTGTTTAAAGTACCAAAACACAAGACTAAAATCCCGAATTTATGCAAACGGATGATTGGCTTTCTATTCTTATTATATTAAATATTTAACGGTGTTTTAGTTCCTCAATACGATAACCGGATACAAGTATATGTATAAACATGTATAAACATGTACTTTTGTTGTTGTTTACAGCTTCTGCTTTGTTTGGAAGTGCAATTTTGAAGGAATTGGCTGATCGGGCATTTTTTCTTAATCATTTTGAGCTTTGTGACTTATTAAAAGAAAATGCTGGGTAGGTAGTTACATTCAAGAAGAACATGAACATTGCTTTGTGATGCAAAATAAAAAAGCAAGAAAAAGACAAAACAATCGCTGTATAGGGTTTATGATAAACACGGAATGGAAAATGTCTGTATTTTACAGACATTTATAATCAAAGGTTTTTGCACACATAACAAATGAAAAGGCAGAATGTAATATATGGTTTTTCCACTTAAAAAAGGGAATGTCAACACCTTTCAAAAATCACACGCTACTTACATGATTGAATGCAGGTGATATTAAGATTACAATACGTATGATGTCTTTGACAATATTTAAGTAGAGGTAATATCTAATTTGACTAATGTTTTTAAGCATTTAATACATAATATATATTTGTATAAGCACATATTAATTGTGATCAAACTATTAGATACACCTTATACAACTTGTAAATTTCAGATACTTTGAAACTCTAGCTTGCAATTTGATGAAAGAATTGTACAGAAATGAACGAGACAGAGCACTTAAAATAGTGGTCAACATAGTGCCTCGTTATAACTGTACACCTATAGCGATTGCTTCTTCACAAAACATGATGAACTTCATGGCAACTTCAGCCTGTCAAGCAAAGCTCAATCGTATCTGGAGGGGAGATATTGCACTACACACACCAGAATGGAGGGTATTTTTTATTTGAATTGTACAAATATACCCTTTAAGCGACTTTGTTTTTGATCACACAAGTTTAAAGAATCATGATATATCTCTCAGAATTCAAATTTATATGTCATAAGACTGCATCAGCTAGTTGCACGATATTCTTTCTTTTAGGCAATCTAATAATACAAATAAATACACCCATATCATACCACTACTTGTAAATTAGTATCTTGTATTTACCTATTTAGGAATTGCTTACGACCTTATTAGAATCAATTAGTGTAATCCTAATATTCATTACTATTGTATATTAAGTGTTATACCATTCTGGTAATTGATCAATATATATCTTTCATTACTGTTTATGGATTATTGTCATAGAAAATTTCATGAGGTGAAGCAATACTTGAAATGTGATAATGAGCAATAATTACGCTTTTGAAACAAGGGATTCGTTTTCCTGGGTTCCGATAACTTGTACATATGTAATAAGAGTTATTTAGCTTTTTTTTTTGTTTGTTTGACGTACATGAGATGTCGGTGTTACTCATTTAACCCCGCCACATTTTTACGCCTGTCCTAAGTCAGGAGCCTCTGGCCTTTGTCAATTTTGTATGTTTTTTTTTCAAATTTAGTTCATTTATATGGTATGGAGTTTAGTATGACGTCCATTTTCACTGAATTAGTACACAGGTTGATTAAGGGCCAGCTGAAGCCCGCCTCGGGGTGCAGGATTTTGTCGCTGTGTTGAAGACCCATTGGTGGCCTTAGACTGTTTTCTGTCTTTGGTCGGGTTGTTGTCTCTTTGACACATTCCCAATTTCCATTCTCAATTTTATTTACTTTAAGTCATACAGTCCTAGAAATTTTGATATTAGGTCCTGATGTTCTCGGCCATAAGCAGAAAATTAAAACAAGGTCGAGGTCATTATCGAAATTTTGAATTTTGCTTGTTATCGCAATTTCCAACAAAGTCAACAGCATGTTGTGATTGTCAAACTGTAAGTTACAATTTGATGCGTCGACAATAGATTTTGGTAACAGTGACGTAGTGATTTTATATGAGTTTTCATTCAAAAACATTCACAATAAGTTGTCTGGTATGATAATCATATAATCATGAATTTAATATTCAGATATCCCCCCTAGACGAGAAAACAACTCACTTCAACTATTAAATGGACTAGACAATTGCGTAGATTTGTAACGTGTATCTGATCTCGTTATACATGTAACATGGAAAATATGCATTGCTTTTTATCGCTTATGTCGGTGATTATTGTATATACCCAGATAAGGAGATCTGGTACACTTGTCAATTAGATAGGCATTTATCAAACATAAACAGACATAAATCCGAAAAAAAAATAATGTACCCTACGGCCTTTGATCAGTTTTAAAACCTATGTCACTCATTAATGTAAGCAATTAAATGCCATGGAATGACAGGATTTGAAATAAATCAGTTAAGAAAATCAATAGTTTGATGCATGATAACTGTAGACAAATCATTACGACAGAGGGAAACCAACTACTTGTAAAATGAGTATTACGCTGTATATTCCCCTTTACCATAACCATTGGTGTAACAACACAATATAAGGACAGACCATCCAATTTGGATGCGGGGATTTGAACCAAGTTATCACTAAATAGCGCAAAAACAAGTGCTAAAAAAGGAAAACACAAAGTAACAATCTTAAAACGCTTGAAATCTCTAAAAGCTTTTTAAAATCCAAATTCAATCAATACAGGGGATTCAATTGTTATCGTTGGTACCAATTTTCGTGGATTAAGGAAAATTTTCATGTTCGTGAATATTCAATTTTGTGGTATTGCCGAATTCTGCGTACAAGCCTATATAAAATATGTCATTCGTTGAACATCTAATTTCGCGATTCACTTGTACCCACAAAAACAATGCTTTCCCACGAACTCAAATATCAAACAAAATACATCTAACGGATTCACAAAGGATACCATCAGAAACATGACCTACTACAGTCCAAATGTCAATGTAAAATACTTTGTATGGACAGGATGTAGTATCATTCGTGTAACAATTGAAGAGCAATACATAGTGTGTTACGTATTTAACAATAATGATATCGATAAGTAAAATATTCAAATATCTCGTTAAAGTATCTTATAAAAAACCATACAACAAATTATACCTTTAAGAACTGTGTTTATAATAGCTACTTGAAAAATTGAGATCAAATACATTTTTTAGATTTGTAAATATTCTAGTATAACTATGTGTTATAAAATGTATTCTCCCTGACTCTTTATTGCTAATTCAAAGCTCAATAGCAATCGCTATAATGATAAGACTTGGTGGTCTCGTTGTCAATGAATTAGTTTCCGAGATTAAATCACGAAGATGTAAGCAACATTAATTCACGGCCTTACAAATGAGCAAAACAAATACCATATGGTCGGGTCTTGAAGGCCCGGGTATGGAAAAACATGTTTTACAATTCAAAAGAATGCCAAATATCATCATTTAAAAATTCGTTTGATAAATTTATTTCCTCACTATACATGTTAGATATTTTTATAACAGGTTGTCTCAAATGAACATTATATTTCAGATTTGGATGACAGTTTTACTACCTGTGTTGATTACACCAAAGTTTGGATTCATTAGTTTTGAAAAGAAAGGAAAAAACTCCCGCAGTGTAGAGCCTTCTAAGAGCGATGATTTAAAAACTGTCGAGCCTACATTTCTACCAAAAAGTTCTCCAAACGGAAATAAAGGAAATGGTGGGATCTTTTCCTGTTTTTCCTGGTTTTACAGCGCACCAGAAGTCAAGTTTATCTTGTATATGGTATGATTTTCTTCTCGAAGTACTCCCGCATTAAAAAAAAATGAAATTCATCTTGTAAAATTTTGAATTATACATAGTTTTACTCCGGACAATCACGGAGGTTGCTGAGAGTTTTCTGTTTGATATATAAAACACGGCGTTAAAGAAAACATTACTAAAAACCCATCATTTCAAAGTATTTTTGGTTAACTCAGTCTAATAGTTATCAGAGAGTAAAATATCTACAGTATCGCGTGCAGAATCGTCAAATAAAAATAGTTTTGTTCATATAGTACTAGTGTATGCTGATACTAAATCATGTATCAAAGGACATTTTACATGAGGTGAACCGATGATATTTTGTTGATACACGAGTTCACATATGTTCCAATGTCTTATCTGGAAACAGCTAATGGAAAATGCAGTAGCAAGAACGTCTTTTTCTTATTGAAAGAACTTCTTAATTAAACTATTGCAAATGTCTACAAAGAATAGCATGTAAACTTATGTAAAACAAAAAAACAAAAACATTGATGTTGTGTTCAGCTGAATTAAACGCATATCGCATATTTGAATATTATCAGCATTGGTATACCATTAAAAAGTAAAATAACAAAAATATCGAACTATAAGGGAAATTCAAAACAGAAAGTCCTTAATAAAATGGTAAAATCAAAAGGTCAAACACATCTAACGAATGGAAAACAACTGTCATATTCCTGACTTGATTCAGGCATTTCCTTATGTACAAAATGGTGGATTAAGACTGGTTTTATAGCTAGCTAAACCTCTCATTTGTATGAGAGTCACATTGAATTCCATTATATTGACAACAATGTGTGAGGAAAACAAGGAGACATAATCATGATAATAGATAAAAACGTCAAAAATTAGGTTACATAAAATGATACCATATAACAAATTACATCGAGTCTGTGTGTTGTCTTCATAACGCACATCAGTCAGTAAAGCACTGACAACAGTTTGAAAGTTATATCGATTCAAAATTTAAAGTGCATATTAGCTTAATTTTTAAATGTTTCAAACTATTTGACAAACACTATTCGATGCCTGTAGCAAATATGAGAAAATGAGTATTGGGAATGATTTAAACATATTTGGAACAATTATATGCATAAAGACCGAATACATCAATGCAATATATTTTATCCTAGGAACAGCAGATTTCCTCGAGGATGAAACGTTTATAAGACGTTGTATCGACTAGTTGATACGTAATATTTATCAACAAGGTTTTGGTATCTTCCGATGAACTTTTCTAGAAAAAGGACGAGATGTTCTTTGACATAACCCTTGTTCATTGTGTTAGATCTGTTGTTATATATGCTTGCCATTGTAATTTTTGATAATTGCTACGGAATACTACGACATTATTTGAATTGGTTTAGTTAAACTATAATTATAACCTTATATACTTGGTCTTAGTAATGTCTAATGGTTAGTAATAGGATAAACATAAAATGTCTTCATAATTATGTTACACAAAAGATGAATACTAGACTAGCAAGTAAAACATGCATTGTATATACATTAAAGATCAATGAAATACGACTTAATTTGGGTAAAACTATTGACAATATTTTTGTTTCAAAACGCATGAAGAGTTATCATTTTCATTATCGATGTGTTACGGTCATGGTCGAATAATATTGTAAACTGACATGATACTATTATTGCCATTGAAGAAAATACGTTCTATCTCTTCGTGTGATGTTTGTTTTTGGTTTGCTAATAGTAAGACCATTCAAATTGTGATGTTTTAAGAGTAAATTAACAATAAAGGTTTTGTTTTTTTTAACATAATCATTCGTCCATCAAAATAATGCACCGACGTAAGAAAAATCAGTAAAGTATTTTATGATTTTATACAGAAAGTTTCTAAAATTTTAAACCTTGCATTCGAATAACACAAGGTATTGCCATGTTTTTTCAGTAAACATCAATTTAATATTTGAAACCATAGGAAGTCGAAATCACATGCAAGTTCTATACAGCACAATATGGATGTGTGTAAAGAAAAGTAAATTTAGTGAAATAAGTCTTGTTTTAAGAATGATATTTTATTCTCATTTAGATTACTTACTTTACATTTGTGGTGATCTTTTCGATTTTTGTGCTGACTGACTTGCACCCTTTGTCAGAAAGTTTACCTTCTGTGTTTGAATATATGACTTGGATGTGGACTTTGTCACTGGCAATTGAGGAAATTAGACAGGTAGGCGTATTGCAACTCTTGTATATGAATTTATTTTTCTAGTGACAGGATACTTATAATACAAGTCCAACCTTTTTTGGATTGTAAACGGTTCGTTGAATGCTCTTCAACCATAAGAATTTTTCCAAAATGCAACCTGAAAATGTGTTGTTTCAGTACACACTTGTAGGGATGTAATAATAAGTGTAAACAGCGTATTAATAGATGAATTATACAATCAGCCAAAACAGGGTTCAATTCGTTTGCCATCGTATATATATACAGATCTGGACCATAAGCCATTTCGAACTACAATTTTTTTTTTATTTCTCTTTGGGTGGATGCAAATTTGATATTATATTAATACATAAATATGTTTTTGTGTTTGGTATGTGTGTGAAGTCATGTATTTTCATAAATAAGAGGAAATTTCCCTTGAAGATATCATGGAAGTCTTTCGCCATCTTCGATTGAAGCATAGCAGAGCACAATAGGTCCAGATTTTCAATCAGGTCAGCAACGTTTTATGAAGGAATGAAATTAACTAATGTCAATTTTCATTTAAATAAACGAGTTTTTAAGATTTTAACTTATGACTACTAATTTTTTTACCAACTTAAGGTAGATTATGTTTGCTAAATTTTCAATGTTTTTAAAATGGCGTATTAAAGAGAGTTAACTCTGAAATAATACATTTTCTAAAGGCATCTACCTGAACTTTTGCAACTTTATGTTTCAGAAGGAAATAACATACGGTGACCCTATCTTTTCTTTTGATATTTTGAAAGCATTTTTTAAAAGCTATCTTCTAGTATTTTAATTTACATTTCTATCATTTAGTTTAGCTTCTATTCACATAATGATGCTTTTTTTCCGTATAAATAAAGGCTATAATCTATACAAAATGTGTGAGTTATTCACAACCTTTAGTTTGAGAATAAGCTCCGTGACCTATCATTTTTATTATATTTTTGAACAGATCACAATATAAACTACGTTTGGCAAAGTATAAACAAATTCTATCATTTTTAATTTAAACTCTCATACCAACTTAATATATATAGAATAATGGCATTTTTTAAAAAATTTTTAACAGACTTTATTAGCAAGAATATCAAGCGAACCTCCAAGGGTCTGTGTCCAAAAAAAAAAAACAAAAAAAAAAAAACCAAATTATTTTTTCATTGGCAATGTTGTCTTAACAATATGTTTTGTTTAAGAATATAAATTAAAAGAATTAAAATGAAATAGTAAATGAAACTATCATCACGCATTTGAATGTTGTTAGGTTGTAAAATGAAAATCAATTGATTGATTCATTGACGCGGATGGACACGAACGCGTGATTTTGCTGCACTGTTAAGTGACGTCCTTTTCAATATTTTACTAGTATCAATTTCTTTACACAATATAAGAAAATATAAGACAGTAAGATCAAAGAAATAATGCAAGTTGCCGAAAAATATGCATAGCTCAAACAGAAGAAATTTTTATACAAAAAAAGTATACAGAATGGGGACTACAACTCAAAACCCAATTAAAACAAATACATACAGTTTTCAACAAAGTTTGGTAATTATTATTATCAAATATCCAAGAAATGTTACAATTTGTGTAATATGCACATATGTTACTCGTTGGACAACAGTCTATATATATATATATATATAGCTAGAAACGATATATAACACATTCATGCACATTTTAAGAGGAGATTTGTTATTTCAACACTGATATATCTAGATTCTAATAATTGTTGTTCAAATCATTAGACCTATCATTTTTATTATATTTTTGAACAGATCACAATATAAACTACGTTTGGCAAAGTATAAACAAATTCTATCATTTTTAATTTAAACTCTCATACCAACTTAATATATATAGAATAATGGCATTTTTTTAAAAATTTTTAACAGACTTTATTAGCAAGAATATCAAGCGAACCTCCAAGGGTCTGTGTCCAAAAAAAAAAAACAAAAAAAAAAAAACCAAATTATTTTTTCATTGGCAATGTTGTCTTAACAATATGTTTTGTTTAAGAATATAAATTAAAAGAATTAAAATGAAATAGTAAATGAAACTATCATCACGCATTTGAATGTTGTTAGGTTGTAAAATGAAAATCAATTGATTGATTCATTGACGCGGATGGACACGAACGCGTGATTTTGCTGCACTGTTAAGTGACGTCCTTTTCAATATTTTACTAGTATCAATTTCTTTACACAATATAAGAAAATATAAGACAGTAAGATCAAAGAAATAATGCAAGTTGCCGAAAAATATGCATAGCTCAAACAGAAGAAATTTTTATACAAAAAAAGTATACAGAATGGGGACTACAACTCAAAACCCAATTAAAACAAATACATACAGTTTTCAACAAAGTTTGGTAATTATTATTATCAAATATCCAAGAAATGTTACAATTTGTGTAATATGCACATATGTTACTCGTTGGACAACAGTCTATATATATATATATATAGCTAGAAACGATATATAACACATTCATGCACATTTTAAGAGGAGATTTGTTATTTCAACACTGATATATCTAGATTCTAATAATTGTTGTTCAAATCATTAGAGATGAAATGCAGTTTGATGAAAGCCTAAGAATGACGCCAACGTAAAAATTATGTTTTTTACAGATTTTACAGACAAACAAGGGATCTTTTACAAGAAATATTATGTTTTGGGCTAAAAATGTGTGGAATATATTCGACGCGCTAATGTATCTCCTATTTTTGGTGTCAGTTATGCTGAGATGTGTACTAAAATCAGATGACTTTTACTATGCACGAATGACTTATGCTATCACATTGGCAATGTTTATCTTTCGAACCATGCAGTTTTTCTTTGTTACAAGGTATCTTGGGCCTAAAGTTGTTATGATAGGCAAAATGGTAAGTTAACAAATAAAAAAATGCTTAGAAATGGACAAGATTGGCAGTTTAGATTCACAAGCAAAAAATAAAATAAAAAGATTATGAGATGTGGAATGATTTCAAACTAATCATTACAAACCAAACTATGAAGATGTTAAGAATTACAGGTCACCGTTCGAAACAACAATGCACAAATACCATCCAGTATATTAAATTTTTAATAAACCCCTGCACGAAAACAATATCAAACTATTGAAAAGAGAATACAAGCGGACTAACTTAGGCGTAGAGCAACGAATGCAAAAACAAAATGGCAGACAGCTACAAAGGCCAACGACTAAATACAGATTACTGACTTAGATCACACGCATAATGTGTCGAGGATTGTAAAATTCAACCCTCATTAAAACATTGATTTAACAGTTCAACACAGGAACAAACTATGCATATCAGTTAGAACTGGTTTAACTCAGCAGATCGGCACCAATTTCTTACAGTTCAAAAGCAAATTTCAACTACTACATAAGCAATGTTTTCCTAGTCTTAGACCAAATAAATAACTATAATAAAAAAGGTTAAGTTAATAGATGCCATGCACAGTCTCCGAAAGATTACATCATTGTGCTGCGCCAAATGTAAGTAGCAACTTGGTCGATAGATCAGTATATATCAACTTGTATTTTTAATAATAAAATCTTACATTTGATGTTAGAACTAATAAAAAAAATCATAGATCTGACAATAGTCTAATATTGGGGACTTTTAAGAATATGTCTATGGAAAAGATTAATAAGCTAACATGGGTCGTTGTCTAAAATGACAGTACAGCAAATGTCCAAAACAAATTTTATATATTAAAAACTTAAGCATAGGTGTTAAGTACTGTGGATTCATTTTTATTCATGGTATACCAGTTTTGGTGGGTTGAGTGGGTCACAGCAAACCACGAATATCAGAATTCAACGAAGAATAATTTATTCGTTCAGTGTATATTAACTTGTTTTTATTAATATGTCTTTTTGATTGAGTTAAACCATTTCAATTGATATTTTGTAGTGTGTCTTTCGATGTTGTAATGTTACACTTCTATTTCAAATTAGGGTGAAGGTTGGCGCCTATTTAAAAGATTAAAACTGCTGCATTTGTTTGCACCTGTCCTAAGTCAGGAACCTGTGTCAGTGGTTGTCGTTTGTTGATGTGGTTCTTAAGTATTTTTCGTTTCTCGCTTTTTATATAAATTAGATCGTTGGTTTTCCTGTTTGAATTGTTTTACACTAGTCATTTTGGGGCCCTTTATAGCTTGCTGTTCGGTGTGAGCCACGGCTCCGTGTTGAAGGCCGTACTTTGATCTATAATTGTTTACTTTTTACATACTGTGACTTGGATGGAGAGTTGTCTCATTGGCACTCATATCAATTCTTTTTATTTTTAAAAACGACATTTTATTAGAAATAAAATTTACTCAACAAAATGTTAAACCAGTCATAAGCGTGTATCTTACTTTTTTTCGTTTCCTAATGACTTTATGTCGTGATCAGGGAATTTTTGTATCTTAAACATTTAGTCTTTTTATTTCTGAACCAGCGGACCCCGAATTTACGTATTCCACGAAAGTTTTTTTTCTCTACCCACGAAAATAAATGAATCCACATAAATTTATGATAAAAAAACCCTAACGTGATTATCAAGCAGTTACTACAAACAATCGAAATTCCCTATTGAAACCAAATGTACTCCTCTTCTTCCCGACTTTTCCTTTTATTCACCATGATCAAATGAAGATGACTTCATACATGCGCTTTCTTAGAAAGAATGAATATAAGATAGCATTAGCAGTAAACTTCATGTTCTTCTGTATAGGTGATGTACTCTGACTAAATAATTCAAAGTTCGGTGACAATTTTGAAGGCATCTATAACATCGAACTTAAAACCAGATACAGTTAAGACTGTCTCATATCTTGATTTACATAGAAATTGACAATTAGGGTCGGTTGAGAACAAATATTTTCGAAAAAAAAACCAAATCATCCATTCTAAAAGATTTAAGTACACCATCACGAGTTGGTTGACCTTAATGTAGGATATGTTTCGCAAATGACGACGGATATGTTTCAATTGTCGTAACATGTACCACAATCCTTTACCCTTTTCTTCGAATTTGACCTATCGAAAAAGATTTACATGTATAACTGGGTTTGTACTAACATGAGCAACACGACAGTTGCAACATGTGAAGCCGGAACTGCGTACTATTCCGGAGCACTGGACATTACCCCCGGTTTTTTACGAGACTCATGCTTCTCATTTTTAACTTTGCTACATTGTGTTTTGTATAATGATGATAATGTTGTTTGTCTTACGATTGATTTTTGTGTGTTGCCATGACTTTATTAGTTTGTTTTCGACTTATGAGTTTTAATATCCTTTTGGTATCTTTCGCCTCTCTGGGATATACAAATAGCTTGTTTGAATCATAAAACGTAATTACAGACAAGGACTGCGCTAACGAATTGTAAACTGTTCACACCGTTAATCTAGTACAAATAACCATCAGTGGTTAGATAAGGAAAATTAACAATTTTGAAACAAAGAATTGACTCTTTTTATCGATAATTTTTGTTTACGTGAAATTGAAATTTCCACATCTAAATAAAAAAGACAAGTATATCGTTTTTTATATGAACATTAAACATTATGTAAGCAAAGTCGTGTATAACAGAGTAAGTACGGAGAAATCCCAAAATATTCCTTCGATCATCACATACAGTACATTAAAATTACCACAAGTTATCTAGTTGCATGTAAAACAACCAGTAAAGTTCGTTTTATAACAATGTAAAGCTTTTCATTTTATCAAATAGGTTAAATACTTTTCCTTTTTAAGCATGTTTATTTGAACACGGGTTCGTTTTTTGTTAATATGTTTTATACCCTTTATTAATCACTTGTTAAAATGAAGAGAAAAACAAGTATTTTTTTCTTATCAGTTTTTAGAAATAAAATTATACAGGCGCAATATTAAAAGGAACACAATAATTTTCTTCAAAATGTGTTTTTTACAGATTGGAGATCTTGCATTTTTCTTTGCATTGTTTGCATTGTTCGTATTTAGTTTTGGAATAATGTATCAAGCCATTTTGTTTCCGAATTCGATGTTACCGCCTTGGGAACTTTTTAAAGAACTCATATATTTACCATACTGGCAGTTGTACGGCGAGCTAAATTTAGATCAGATTGAAGGTATTGTTGTAATTTTATTGCATTTCTACAGCTAATTTTACAAATAAGGAAATTAATGGAAATCTAAGGAAATCTATGTCGTCTAATGATTCACTATTTGCAAAGTCCTATGTATCAACTTAAGTCGTGTTGTGTTAAATGTGTTATGCACAATAACACATAAAATTGAATATAAACTTGAACATACGTTTTCCATTTTAAATTAGGTCATTGTAGAGTTATTTTGAATACAATATTGCTGTTCGTGAAGAAAAAAAAATGAAACAACACGTTATAAATTGCATGCGTCCTGGATTTGCCTTCATAACGAATATTCATGACTGTTCAATCAATAATGAAACGAAGGCACCATGATTTTATCGATGTTCCATTATTTGAAATTGATTAAGAGGACACATACAGGTAGAAATAAAAAACTGAGAGATTCGCATGAAATCCAAGGAACGAAACAAAGTGAGTCGACAGGCTAATCGTCCATCCTATACATGCATCACATTTTCTGCATGGAAATTTCCATAGGTTTGTCGAAAGTTTACTATATTACAGCTATTGTTTGTGTTCAATGTACCTTTTTATTCTTCGAAGATGTTCATAATTTCCTTTTCAATATGAAAAAAAATGACAGTTGCATGCGCGAATTACAATTCATAAATTCTTGAGACATGAAATGAAGCACAGGTGATGTTGAGTTTATGTGACTTAGCCAGCAACCTATTGACATAAACACCAAAGTTGTATCTACAATGCATCATAAGGTCGTTGGCACTTTAAAATTATTAAACTATTTTACAAGCTCTGCATAGTCCAGATTCAACAACAAATAAATCTATAATATTGTTGGCATATTCCCTCTTAGACTGTGTGCGAAGAAAGATTACCTCGTGCAATGCCATAATATAAGAATCGACATACTAGTTTTCATCACTGTATATCATTAGATATAAAATTATGTTATGACTTATTCATAATAAGAGTAACATCCTCTTTGTTTTCATAATACTTTTATCGTCAGTATTAATTAATGGCTTTATGTGATATTTACAATAACATTAATCGGTACTGATGTATATGCATAGATAAGCCTTTAATATGAAAAAAAAAAAAAAAAAAAAAAAAAAAAAAGACGGATGGGATGAAATTGTCAATGAGACAATCATCCGACAAATATCAAATGAAGTGGATGTAAACAATAATAAACATCACTTTTTGTTTATGGATCTTTTCGAGTGGTTTGAATTTTATAAATCAAATGTGGTGAATTTTTTGCCTAAATCTTGTGAATTGTCCTTTTGAATTTATGGTTTTTTTAAGTGGTATTAAAATTCCTGTGTTCATCTTAGACATCTACGTTCCGTTTGTTCGACATAATTTATAAAACACTTCGGCTTAGTTTAAGAAACCAGATAGATGTAATTTTGAGTTTTTCATGTGATGTCAATTGAAAACAAGGAGCGAAAAAGCTTTCCTGTTTATTTTTGACCTAGCAGTATTATAGGAAGATGATTTATATCAGGTTTGTCATTTTATGGCATTGGACGGGAATGTTTTTGAATATCAACGAGCATTTTGTTTACAACTTTAACAGAAGCTGCATTTACCCATTTTTTTCTTAATTTAGAAAAGTGCTGAATCTAGAAGGGGAATATCGATGGACATTTTTGTTAAGCATGCGGTTATTAGAGTACGTGAAGATCCATGAAGTAGTGGTATCTTCTGTTTTCATTTAATTTCTTAAAACCATGATCATTTAAAGTATTGAGAGTTTAAATGAAGCCGATAGACATAACGTTGAATTAGGCTTACAACAAAATATCGATATAGCTGTCAAAGATTTCGTATACCAACTATGATAAGCAGCTCAACGGAAAGGTGTCAGTAAAACAGACATATAACAAACACAGGTCACACATGTAATTATGTACTAAATCGAAACAAAATCATTAAAAAAGGACAAGATAAAAACACGGTTATTAGTATGGGAAAACAATAGAATATTAGCATAGTAGACGACGTCGACAGCTTAGTGTCTGCTTAATAATTATAACAATTAACCATATTATCGTACATGAATACTTTTAAGATCTTAAATCTTAAAATACAAACTGTGATTTATGGTAAAGAAAGTGCATATCGATATTTTTCATATTGACTATCACATCAAGGTCGAGGTCTATTAGACAAAGGAATCACATCATGGTACTTCGTTGAAATAAATGTGCCATTTAAAACATCAATTACCTGCATACTTCTCTCATATGAAAAATAACTGGTTCCTCTTGAGTAAATACGTCTAAGAGTTTGCAAAAAAAAAAGCTAAGGATGCAAATTAATGGAAATAAATCACTTGTTTTTCGTTTGCAGAATACTATATTAAATTTGTTGAAATAGTTTATGACAATTTTTTTTTCAATAAACCGTTTTGTAGACCTGTTTCTTGTATTGTCGTGTTTAGCTTTGGTGTTGTCAGTTTCGTTTCGACGTATGAGTTTTGAACTTCCCCTTGGCTTCTTCCGTCTCTTTTTTAACAAAAACTGTTCTGATTTGATAATGCCAAACAACATGTGCACAGAATTGAAGAATAGAGAATAATTGGGCGCAGAAGTATATAGAATAACTAGGGGGATAGGTAAAACAACAATGAAAGATATACTGTAGAATTATGAAATTATTTACGTGTAGACAAAAAGGTAAAATCAATTTCATGAGAATTCTACAGAGTAAGCGTTAACTTATATTTAACGATAAAGAATGCAGAAATTAACACACCCCCTTTTCCTCTCCCATTAAGACCATAATAAATCATCGAATTTTAATTTTTAAAATTTCTATTTGATGTATACGATAGCTGAATTTATATTCCATATTTTCCTAAATCTCATACGAAGTTAAATATTTTTTTGCAAGACGTTTTTGTGAATAAATAACAAAGTCGCCTATGTGTCTCTATAATGAATTTGTACTTATATCAACAGCCCAACCAAAATGGCCCTTTATTTGTTCTTTGCAGTACCGTTCACTCAAATACAAATGGAATTATCTTGACCAAGGTAATTTCAATTCATATTTAAATTATGTTGTTTGGAATGATGAAAAAAACATGTGATCTGCTGCTGCCGTGGTAAATTTTTTTACTCTATCATTATTTATGCAATTGCAACATTGTTTTTTCTATTCATTTAAGAAGATTCATATACAGCCAACGGACTGTACAGGAGTTAACAAAGCTGCGCTTTTATCGTTGAATAGTACGAAAGCCGAGAAAGTTTATTCAAATTTCAAATGTCGAACTATTCTAGAGCGATAAAGTATTAACATGCAAGGCACAATTTACAATACATGTATAGCACATATCAGTCACCAGTAGGTCAAATTTTAAAATTATATCTTACGACATTTTTAATGGGCACTGATCAGATGCGGATCAAGGCTTTGCTGTTAGATGGGGGCACTCCTTTGAATTAGGAATTAGAGGACCGTATTGTGTCGCTAAATTGGCTGTAAAGTTAGCTTATTATAATTTTTTTAGGGGAAGGTGTGGGGGGCGCCAGATGCACTCCGTTTATATCCGCACCTGCCAGTAAATAAACGGAGCCTTCTACATATTTCATTATATTGTGAAGTTTAAATTTTGTACCTTTTCCAAATGCTCAGTCCAGCAAAAACGTACAGACGGACAGGGTAGAAATGAATGCGCTTGCACCGCGATTGAGGTAAAAAAAAACAGACTGGTATTATTCCGGCGGAAAGTCTGGGTATCTCCATATAGCAATAGTCCATTCATAAAAAAGAGTAGACTAATAATTTGTTTTCTGTATAGGCATATAGTCTAAAATTAGGTCATTGTCCTCTTTCATTTTCAATTTTTAGTTTTGATTTTTGGCTAAAATGGGAATCGAACATAGTTTTGGCCCCTTACTGTCCCTTACTCGTACATACGCCAGTAGAACATTTTTACAACGAAATAGGGTACAAAGATCATTATAACGACCGGAGTCTATCATTCGATTGGGAAATGCCCCCTTTTTCATTTTTTATTTTGATCTTGTAGAATTCAGGAATTATGAGAAAGCACCTCAAAGAAGCGATTTTCATAAAATTTAATTAATTTGATAACTTTATAATATCATTAATTTACATGAAAACATCCTTAATTACATTCTTCGAACTGATATATAAGAAAGTTGTTCTGGATTTTTTTTTTTTCATTTTATCAGTTGGAGGGGAATATACGAGAGGATTGTTGGAGTGAAATTTTCGAGATAAGATTTGGAGAAATATTAAATTTACAGCGCTGAATATGAATTATATATTTTGGTAACAGATGATCATAAATAATTATCTGATTATGTTTATAACAAAGTTATACAATATGCTCTCTCATTAGCTCAACATGCCGGAAGTGCAATTGAACTTTTGAATATTTTTCCGATCGGACATTTTTTTAAATGTCTTCTCCTCCGAAACCACTAGACCTAATAATAAATGCCTTAAAAATAGTGTTCATTTTAAAAATCTTATTTTGAGGACGATAAGGGAATGCAAAGTTCTTGTATATCAGTAATAAAAGAATTATTAAATTTTGCATCTTCCTTAATACGTCATATAGGTAACGCTCGATACATGAGCATGCAACTGCTCTAGCATGTTGAGTAAAAGGTGAATTATGTTGAATTATGTTGAAACGTTCATTTAGGTTTTCCATATAACTTGTAGTGATTGCATTGAGTAAACACTATGAGGGTATTTGACAAATGAAACACTTGTCAGATTAATGTGGAATCTATCAACAATTAAGTTACATTGTATATTTAAAAGCACCTAATGTGTTTACGTTCTTTCGTTTAAATGTGTTTAATTCAATTTTAGCTCTACGTTTGCGTTTATATTACACAGGGAAAGAGCCGTCTGAATGTACAAATAACCCTGTATTGTACTCAAATGGAACCATGCTTCGTTGTCCACAAACTAACCAGTTCAATTCACCTATTCTAGCTGCATATCTGATTCTGACAAACATTGTATTACTAAATCTTCTTATTGCTATGTTTTCGTAAGTAATTAATTGTTATTAGAAAGAGTCGAAAAATACCATGGCGTCATTCAAACCTCATTTGGTAAAAAAATAGCAAATCAAAAATTAAGTGGGAGTAAAATTTAATATTCTCTCATGAAGAACAGTTTGTGAAGTGGTCAAAACATTTTGAGACCTATATTTTCACCAGATAACTGTAAAAAAACAGAAAATCAAGGTAATACCAACTATGCCGGTGCTAATCACAGAATGAAAAAAACTGTGAATACCAATACATTCATTGAAATAACAAAAATTAAAAAAGACGATGAGGTAATTTTTACAACTCTATATATACATATATTCTATATACCAATTAAATTCTCATGAAAGCTAATGAACCAACTGTCTACCGGAGATTTAATGACAAATAAGTTAACAGCTAAAGGCCACCGTACAATGAACAACATCCATATCGCGCAGTAAGCGATAAAAGACTCCGAAATGACAAATGTAAAACATGTCAAACGAGAAAACTATAAGCCTGATTCAAGTACAGAACGATAAACGAAAAACAAATTAATATGGAATAACAACTAAAAATTAAAACCGCATAACTATAGGCTCCTTGCGATGAACAGGCGCATAAAAAATGTGGCAGGATTAATATAAAAAAAGGTGGTATTATTGCCAGTTAGACAACTATCCACCAACGTTTAAATAAAGTGTATGTAAGTAATGAAAGGCAATCGTAGGGCCTTCAACAATGAAAACAGTCCATTTGCCACGGCCAGACCCTTTGCCTTACCTGTTACGGTGGTGTATAAGTACGACATAAGAACAAACTACAAAAGACAGTTGAAAAGGCTCAACTCATTAGATCGATATAACGCACTTGAAAACCCTAACAAAACCACAGGATACAAAAAGTGCAGATCTAAGAGTACTCGAAATTACTGAAAACTTGTCAAAAGTCAATAGCAACTAATAAACAATAATGTGTTTAAAACTAAAAAATAAAAATCGATCAGTACACATCCACTATCAAACAAATTAGGATAAACAAGTGATTAACAGACAATAAAAGAATGTTCTTCCTGTCGATAAAAAAAAAGCATTTCAACCCCACAAACCAAACTTATTATTTTATGAAAAATATGTTTTCGCAGGAACACATTCGAAAGAGTACAGGAAAACTCAGAAATCATTTGGAAGTTCCATCGATATGCACTGGTGTATGAATACTATGACAGACCAATGTTTCCAATACCTATCGCAATACACTTCAATCGACTCATTGTTTGGTCTTTTAACACCATACGAAAAAAATCGTATGACAGCCCATTTGGTAAATATATCACTATGTTTCTTCTTACTTTCGATATGCTGGAAACACTCAAATTAGGAGTTTGTTATAATTTAATTGACACACAGCACATTAAAATTTTGTATTTATTACCAACGTTTTAATAAATGATATCTCCAAATATGAATATATGTTTAACACTCTTTGAAAAAGGGTTTTGTACTACTTCACGTTAAAACAATTATCTATTCATTCATCTATCGATATTTCAGAAAAAAAGTTAAACAAATTTTAGTCAATATATTGCTCTGTCCATCTTTTTGTTTCGTTTGGTTTCCATGGCATTGTCACTTTTTCATCGACTGATGAGTTTTTAGCTACTATGTCTATATATAATATGTCCATGCTGCATGTATTACTAATTTCCTCATAATACGAAGTATTTTGTGGAGCCCTGAATGTTGGAACATGTATTTTTATCGTAATCGATTAACTCTTAATAAGCAAATGAATCAGGCAACTAATACATATATATGCGGTTTATACATGCCAACGAGAATTATTGTCAAAATAAGTACTATAGTTTTACTCAATTAATCGTGAGTTTTTTTTTATTTAAATTTATAATTATCATTTTTTATTTCTAGTACACGCGCATTTACTATAATTCTGTAAACACGGTTAACATAGACAATTCTAATGACTACCTGAATGAAATCGTTTTCACATTGTGTCCACTTATACATCAATTCAAAATAATAAATAAACTATCTTTGTTCTGAGAAAGTTACTTTTTGTTCTATAGTTTGCTTATACAATATTTCATTTCATTTTTTTTTCTTTTCTATTCTTGTGTAAACTTTATTTTGACAACAAAAAATACCTTTTCTTATTTTTTTTATTTTCCATGACTCATCACGTGCTGTAAATGAGTTATATATAAAGTGTCGCGAAAACAATTTTTTCAGAGAGTATTCCAAAATAAAATACAGCAAATGTTGTTTGAAAAATATGAAGGTTTATGAGGAAACCATTCTTTACGGCATTTGTAACTTAGCAATGCTTTGAGACTTTTACATGACAGCTGACACATGCTAGTGTCTAGTAAAACATATGTTATTGTAGGGTACTATATTCATATAATATATAATTTATAGCTCTTCATGCTCGTATGTAGTTTTTAATTTGTTTGTACCTGCAATCACTGCTTTTAACAATTGATTTGTCGTTGAATCAATAACCCATATATACATTAAGAAAGTTCAATCGGAGACCATCAGAGTTTAATATGCGTATACAACCCCCCCCCCCCCCCTTTATTGTATGACCATAATACTGTTGTAAATAAAATATTCGGAAATAAGCCAGATTAAACGCGGCCTGTAGGTTAAATGCGCATTAACTATCGGCGAATGAATCTTTTTTTTTCAATCCTTTTACAGGTCGGGCTTTGTATGCACCCAAATGTAATTATGGAGCTTCGTGCATTGATATTTCAACAAACAAACAGTATTCCAATGGATACCAATTTTGCACCCGAACTGACCACTTACTACATGTATGTGTTCATGTGAAACAAAATGATATATTAAACAATTACCAAACACGAAAAGACATTAACCTAATGCAAATGTCTTACACTTTTATTCCATGTCAATGTATAATGTGCTGTTACACCAGGGTTTTCCATATCACAAACTAGTCAAAACATTTAATAAATTTCATCATCGGTACAAGGACATCATTCGTAAATATGAATCAACATGCAGACGCCTTATACGTTCAGGTATTTCACATCCAATTTTTATGGTAATATTCTATACAAAGCACAAAAACGTCGACATTCACTTTAAAAGCTAACCAAACCTTTAAACAGACTTTTTCAGAAGGGATATAGTTATGATACTGCTGTCAGATCATTAAAGATGGCATATGTTGGTATTTATATTGATTCAATCATAGGGTCTTTGCATCGGAAATAAACACATTTATTCTAAAACCAGTTGTTGGCATGATACGGGTTATGTTCTTCTCATATATTTTATAATGGTATGATACAAAACCCCTAACGGGAAGGATTGTGCTTGATTTTCATATGATGAAGACAAAATCTTTCAATCAGTTTAATCGAGGTCTGGAGCTGGCATGTCAGTAACTGCTAGTAGTCCCTTGTTAACTTATGTATCATTGTTATTTTGCTTAGTTTCTTAAGTTACCTTTTCTGACATCGGACTCGGACTTTTTTTAAACTGAGTTTTACTGTGCGTATTACTGTGTGTTTGTTTATTCTACATTGGCTGCTAGAGGTATAGGGGGAAGGTTGAGATCTCACAAAACATGTTTAATCCCGCCGCATATTTGCGCCTGTCCCAAGTCAGGAGCCTCTGGCCTTTCTAGTCCTGTAAGTTTTTTTAATTTTAGTTCATTTATATGTTTTGGAGTTTAGTGTGACGTCCATTTTCATTGAACTAGTACACATTTTGTTTAGGGGCCATCTGAAGCCCGCCCCCGGGTGTGGGATTTTCTCGCTGTGATGAAGACCCATTGGTGGCCATCGGCTGTTTTCTGCTGTTTGGTCGGGTTGTTGTCTCTTTTACACATTCCTCATTTCAATTCTCCATTCACTCAGCAACTCTCGCGTGTGCTTGTATCTTACCTGCATTTAGCCGATTGAATTTATAGGAACATTCCCAGAACAAGTAGGTCTGATTGATATCTTGTCTTTTCCCCATTATTTGACATATTATAACTGAAGATCTGGGCATCATACACATTGAATCACTAAAAAAGTTGGTGTCAAAAAGATAGGCAGAAGATACCAAAGAGATATTCAAACTAATATGTCGAAAACAAACTGGCAATGTCATGGCAACAAAATCTGAAGACGACAAGCAGAACATAAAACAGATTGTCTATCTTTACCTGTACGTGCACTACTAAAACACGCGTTTACCATTCCCGTTAACTAATTGTGGAAATTATATAAAACAAAAAATTTCTGGCTTATTTATATATTGCAAATGATAAATAAATAGAGTATCACTTAAAAAAATATGTAACTTCTGCAAAAATTAAAAAAAACAACATTTTATTTGTTAATTACAATTTCCACTAATATAGATTTAACGAGGAAATGTTTCAAGACTTGGAATAAAACAGACGACTTTAAATGATCTATGAAACTTTGTTTTTAGACAATACGCTAATTTTAAAATAATTAAAAAAAAAGAAACATTGTCACTTTTTATTGTTATTGACATAAATATTAGAACCCATAGAGTTATAGAGCTCTCAGTTTGTGTAAAACTATTCATCTTTTTGGACAAAAAGAACAGAATTGTAATGCCGTTGTATACTATTCTAATGAAATGGAAAATATTGGCACCTTTTTTGTTTATGCAACAACAATTTTTTTTTTAATTTTGAACTTACATTTATTCACCTTTAAGTCTGATAATCAATCCTTAGGTATAACAAATACTCAATTATCAGGCCAGTGCATAAATATTAAAAAAAGGACTAATGTCACATTTTATTGTTATCGACATAAAATATTAATAACCGTAGATGTATAGAGATCTCAATTTGTGTAAAACTATTCATTCTTCGGGACCAAAAGAAGGGATTTGTAATGCCGTTGTATAATTGTTTGATGCGACAACACATTTTTTTTAATTTAAAGCTTAAATGTCTTACCTTTTATTTCTAAAAACCCATCCTGAGGTATAAAATGTACTCAATTATCAGGCCAGTACAAGAATATTAATAAAACTATACTGTCTCTCTTAATTTTGATCGAAATATATATAAATAACCGTAGACTTATAGAGCTCTCAATATGTGTAAAACTATGCATTCTTTGGGACCAAAAGCACAGTATTGTAATGCCCTTGTATAATTTTAAATAAGATTGAAAATATTGGCACTTTTTTTTCATGCGACAACATTTTTTTAATTTCAAACGTGATTTGTGTTTGACTTTGATTTCGAGCAATCCATCCTGGGTTATAAAAGGTAATTATTTATCGGGCCAGTACGAGAATATTGATAAAAAAAAAGTTGTCACTATTTTCTTGTTTTCGACATAAATACTAATAACCGTAGACTTAAAGAGTTCTTCATTTATGTAAAACTATTCATTCTTCCGGAACAAAGGAACAGCATTTTAATGCCGTTGTATAATATGTAACCAAATGGAAAATATTGGCAATTTTTGTTTGATGTGACAAGACTTTTTGCAATTTTAAACTTAAACTTCTTCACTCTGACAGTTCAATTTGAGGTATAAAAAGTACTCAATTATCAGGCCAGTACAAGAATATTAACAACTTTTGACCAAATATAGACGTGCCTTTTTCACGTTAACGCGGAAGAAAACGCCCGTTTACTATGAACAAAATAAGAAGACGCGCCCTTTTAGCGTTAACGCGGTGGTAAACGTTAAGGTAAACGCCCGTTTATTTTTTATATCGTCTGAAATTTTGGTGTTAACGCAGAGTTCACGCCCGTCTATATGTAATGCTTGGTCTGCACCCAACTGTATCACGCGGCGTTAACATGAAGTTCACGCGAGTAAACGCCGCGTTAACATTTCTTCCCGTCTAGCTACATGTAATGCTTGGTCTGCACACAACTGTATATCATATTCCAGATGTGACAGTTTGACTGTGTTTGGATTTGAGACGATGACGATGCATAATTGGATGAGTTCTTTCTACTGTCGAATAATCGATCTCATTCGATTTTTTTGTTCTAGCGATTCTTTCACTTTGTGTTTCCTACCTTAATTATTCTTCTTAATTGATGTATGCAAGTTGAACATCGGTACTGTTCACTACATTGAAATAGTTATAACTTATAGTTTTATTCACAAAGAAATTTTCTTTAGATCAGATATGTGAACGTCGATCCGTTGTCTGATCAATATAACAAATTCAAAACGTAAAACAAAAATACAGAATTCCAAGGTAAATTCCAAAAGGGGAATCCATACAAAACTGACAAAATCAAACGTTATCAATCAACAGAACGAGTAAAAAACAATTGTTGTTATTCTGACTTGGTACAGGCATCCCCCCCCCCCCCCCCCCCAACAAAAAAATAAAATTGAGGGTTAAACATAATTTTAAAATCCATCCATACCTCCAGCTTGTATGACATTTTTTGTTAGCTAGCAATTTCAAACACGATAAGGGAAAGGAATAAATTTGGTAGTTATAAGTTTTGATATTAGTATCATTAACTTTATTGATTTGATATACACATCTTTGAAAAATCGTACGCTTCTTAATTTAAAGAAAAAATAAATCAGAACAAAATCCGAAAGCAGAAACCAGTAACAATAAAGTAGGGATAACTAGTATTACTAGGAACGATATCTCTATATTGATTAACCAAATGCAATGCAATGAATTATCCGTCTTCTTTCGTATGTTATATCGAAATTTTAAACACCTTAACATGTATGATTAACTGATGTTTGTGTCGTTGAAATAAGAAGGTGTTGTTCTTATTGCGACCATAACATGTAGACGTGTTTGCTGACTTCGGTGACTTGTTATTAAATATTATTGGCGAATATCAAAGTCTCATGAGTTTTCAAATCATCTGACTTAAAATGCTTATTTATAAGAATTTTCTTTGTAGCACCAGCACAAGACGAAGAAAAGCATAAACTGCACATTGTTGAAAATAAAGCGTTAGCACATGTTGATAATATAAATGACACAAGTTACATGATGGCAGATAGAAGGTATGGTAATAACATTTCATACATCAAAACCATTACCAAAACACATCGGTAACAGTCAATGACAGTGTCAAGGTTTTGTTTTTGCTGATGGCTGTTTAGTACCTTTGTATGTAACCACTTCCGTTTAGACACTTAAATTTCGTAAGCATTTATCAATTATGCACTCGCTTGAATGGGTATACCGTCCATTTAATATATATAATTACCTTAGTGCGTATTTTTATCTTTATTTTACAATTGATCGATATACGATGATGTTGTTTTTGCATATATTATTTCCCCAAAGGCTGACTGACTACAAGTCTTTTCCCGAGCGGCAGCAAAACTTTTGCTGAAATGGGGCGTCTGTTTGGCTGTGCAGGATGTATCAAGTACGCAGCCACGTCCGGTAAGAATGGGAACGTTACATCCGATGCCTAGTGTAGAGAGAGTGCCACTCTCTCTGCACGATAAGAACCCTTGCAACAACTCTTCGAGGCGTCCGTAGGTGACCTGTTGCAAGGCCAAATTTCTGTCCCTATCCAATATACCCTCGTTTTTTCAGTGGCAGTCGAAATTTCCCGACCTTACACCTGACAGCCTCAATTACAAGACCTACTTATTGTTGTCATTGTTAATTTGTTCTCGTCCTGAACAGGCATTAAATATTTGACACTGGACGTTACAGCAACTAACAATCAATTAATCATTTATAATTTTTCTACATTATTTGGGAATATCCTTTCACGGTTAAATAATTCAATTTAAACAAATTTATGATCTCAGATGGATCAATGATTCCTGTCACTGTTAATTGAATTATTGTTTGGTCTGACGTAGTTATGGAATTGCTTTGAAATTTTAAAATGTAGGTTGCTATCATCACTGATATAGTTCTTGAATGTATATAGTTACAATGGTTGTTTTCTTTTCGTTTTGTTCCTTGCTTTTGTTGTTGTATTGCTATACTTGGTACAACAACCATGTATGATTATATACTACCATTATATAGTTTTGTTCGTCAATAATAGTGTATCCTGTCTCATGGAATGACACACCTGTCTTTTCAAGACCAAAAAAAAAAAATTGAATAATTACAGGTAACATGGAGTATATCAAACGCATAACATATAATATGCGCTCAATTTTCACAATAACCTGTGATTGTTTTTTAAACACCCAGCTAACAAAATATGTAAATATCAGTTGGAAAACTCATCGGACCCGGACATAGCAGAAGCACGGGGGAAAAAGGAGTAATCCGGAAAACCCTAAATTCCACCCAATGAATACATATGTTGGTATTAATATTGATTCACTTACAGGGTCTTTGCATCGGAAATAAACACATTTTTTTTCTAAAGCTAGTTGTTGGCATGATACAGGTTATGTTCTTCTCATATATTGTATGATGGTATGATACTTAACTCCTAACGGGAGGGTTTGTGCTTGATTTTTATATGATGAAGACATTTTCTTTCAATCAGTTTAATTGAGGTCTGGAGCTGGCATGTCAGTAACTGCTAGTAGTCTTTTGTTAATGTATGTATCATTATAATTTTGGTTAGGTTCTTTTGTTACCTATTCGGACATCGGACTCGGACTTCTTTTAAACTGGGGTTTACTGTGCGTATTGCTGTGTGTCTGTTCGTTTTTCTACATTGGCTAAAGGTATAGGGGGTGGTTGAGATCTCACTAAACATGAGTAACCCCCGCCGCATTTTTGCGCCTGTCCCAAATAAGGAGCCTCTGACCTTTGTTAGTCTTATATGAATTTTAATTTTAGTTCATTTATATGTTTTGGAGTTTAGTATAACGTCCAATTTCACTGATATAGTACAAATTTTCGCCATCTGAAGCACGCCTCCGGGTGCGGGATTTTCTCGCTGTGTTGAAGACCCTTTGGTGGCCTTCGGCTATTTTCTGCTCTTTGGTCGGGTTGTTGTCTCCTTTACACATTCCCCATTTCCATTCTCAATTGTAAACAAACGTAAAATTGTTTAAAATGACAAAATTGATCATTTCACTTTAAAATAATTTAATGTAAAGACGTGATATGCAGTCTTAATAGCACTGTTGTCACATGATAAACTATAAATATGAATGATATATAAGACCATAAATAGCAATTGCTAGTAAGGTTTAGCTGCATGTTATGTATTGAGCATATGAGAGTTTAACACGATATAACCGATAGGTCAAATAAAGACAAAATTCAGAATTTTACTAAACTGTGTGAGTTTTTCGTTATATTTTTCTTGTGACATTCAAATCAGAGCTTTTTTGGTTCCTTTTTTTTCAACATGCTGCATGTTATATATATTTTCTAATTTTTAATTTCTCACTGACATAATATATCAACCCCTTAGTACTTGAATACTTACACATTTTGTGCCGGCAGCTACGAATGAGAACATCTTGAAATTTGGTATGACGATCTATGTACTTCGTTTTCTGATCAATTGCTCTGCATTTAAGAGATATATAGATAACATCATAGTCATACAAAAATTGGGTGTCATATCCATTTCGTATCAAGATTTTTACAAAAACAGCTCAAATTCAAAAACAAATATTTGTATATATTCTTCGATCAGCCATCTTTTGTACAAATAACATGTTCCGATATCCGGAAAAAAAGGTTTTAAGGTAAATAATATGTATGATTTATTTAATAATGTTTCTGTTGAAACAATTGGTACTTTTTAATTGAAATTGAAATATATTCCAAAATAAGAATTTGTTGTATTAGTTTAAAATGATTTTAAGTATTTATCAAGATATCTTATTGATGCTTTTTCTTCTGTAAATAATATAAAGTTTTATTGAATTTAAAGACTGTGTGTGTGTTTTAAAAATGAAAACGGCTTGTTATAATATTAAAAATAGCTCTCGCCGCAATATAGCCTTTTTGTGCTGATGCGGCGTAAAGCAATCATTAATCAATCAATCAATACAAATAACATGTCAGTGACAAAAATGTGATTCTTCAGAACAAAGGGGTTATTATATGAATTCTGGTGAATATCATCTCTCGTTAAATGCATAGTTTACTCGTAAGCGTCAACTTTACAATATTATAATATACTCTACTAATCCGCGTTACTCATGCCATTACTCTATAGTACGATTAATATACATTCTGTAAGTCCATGAATACAAGTTAAAATGGAAAACTTTGGACCAAAAAAAAAAAATTAAATCCTAAATATTCATGTGTCTATCCCTTGCTTGTAGTTTTTCATGCAATTCTATATTTTCAAGTTTTGTATGATTTATTTAATACTATTTCTATTTTCTTTGTGAATAAGTACTTTCGCTTTGTACTAAAATTTTTTTTTGTAAATTGAAAGACTTTCTGTCTGTTTTTTAAAAATAAAAACATCTTGATACAATACTTAAAATAGCTTTCGCTGCGATATAGTCTTTTTGTGCTGATGCGGCATAAAGCAATCACCAATCAATAAATCAATACAAATAACATGTACTCAAATAAATGTTTGTTTTGTTTTGTACTTGTGCAAATAAAATCTCCTGTTACTCCGCTTTTCTGTTGAGCAAAGAGTAAATTAATTTGAATGTTTCTTTTGAATAACAGTTAATTTTTTAGCGTATCTTCGCGGTTCACGTATAAACTATTTCGATTTCTATGAAAAATCAGAGAAAACGTTTTAGATTTAAGCTGAATCGTAAAGTGTCGTGTTTAAATTACAGGATACAAACAATATATGTACTCTTTCGGCGAGCCTCGCTGCTCGTCCTGATTCTAAAGCTCAAACAAATATATTTTATATTTCCGACAATGTATTTATATTGTATATACATTTTTCAATTAATTATAGATTAAAGTATTGTAGGGTAACAGTCTTCAGGAATAACGTTAAGTTGACAGAGCTACTATGTGTGCAACACTTAAAAATAGCCGCCTTGCAATATGTTCAACTCTATTCCTCGACGTAGACGCAGTCATGGTCATCGTCATTATACATCACCTACTTTGCATGATGTCTATATTAATGACTTGCTGCCATTTATACAAAAGCCGTTCGGCATTCATCACATTCGCACGAAACTGTATTCATTACCCCTTTCAAAACTTCATTCTCTTTTTAATTTATGTTTGGAAAACACTGTTACAAACCCTCATTCAAACCAATACAAACTTACAGCTATCATTTCGGATATTGCAAGTCACAGACTTTTCAAACCAGTTCGCATTGAAAAAGATGAAAAAGAGAAAAGATCTTTTCTTAAACTTTCCTTTACCAACAAAGGTCTCGATGATGTTAACTTAGACAATATCCTTCATCATAAATTAGTTCACTCCAAAATACCACCTTATTTTAAAGATCAGTCTGTACCAATAATTTCTTATACCTATACCAAACCAATTGCAACTAAAATTTTCAATTACAAACACGTTTTGTAGGATCTCAACATTGACGACTTCAAGTCTAAACCTCCTGATTGCACCTGTTCTAGTTCCCAATTCACATATAATCCGGCTGGCCACGTTATTACCGGAGACCTCAACACTGTCAATAATACTTCACTGCGAAATTTGTTATCCAAAGGTCCGAAATATCGTGAGCCTTAATCCATCAATTGGAAATACAACTTCAAAATACTGATGGATTCAGTCGAGGATTATGCCAGGCAAAGGGCTAAACGCGAGAAAGAAGACGTAGATACTCTTTCCGAATGGATTAAGGCTGTGAGGTCGTTGATACAAATCCGAATTAAGAAACTAAATGGGCATATCAATACCCACGCTACGTCAATTTTTAAAGACCCTAATGTTGCAAAACACTTTTCCTACCTCCATGACAAATATGTTGTTGTCCCCGCAGATAAAGCTACAACCAACATCGTTGTTGTGTGTAAATATCATCACATAGACTGCTTGATAAATGAATTAGGTATTGACATTTCACTTGGAAACTCAACATATACCCTCACGACACTTACCAAAGAGGAAATCCTGGATAATCATAGGTCTGTTCTATGTTCCTTTGGAATTT